CTTTGAGATACTTTGTAATATTTCCTGTCCCAAAATTGTTACTTATTTTGAATTTTTTTTACTTTAATACAATTTAAACTAAAAATACAAATTTACACTGGACAATAATTATGGGACAGAGTATATTTTTATTTCAACAAGATGAGTTATTAATTTGGCGAGGAAAGTTCTTGACTTCTTGTTCTACTTGTCTTTATATTTTTTAATTATACAAGGCACACACAAGGGGGTGCTTGATTTAAATAATTTCCAAAAAAATCGAAATGGCTAAAAATAGTTTAGAAGTAGGGGAGTGGCTAAAAGTATGAATATCGGATTTCTGAAATCCGATTTTAGACTGATATCGGATTTCGAGAATTCGATTTTCATTCACATCCAAAGTTAAAATAGAATTTCAGAAATTCGATATTCATACTTTTGGCTATTCCCTTATTCCTGAACTAGTTTTGGCTACTTCGATTTTCCTTCATTACTTTTTGGTTAAAAGCAGATGGGTTTTTGGGTGCTTTTACAGATGGATTGTTGAGGTGTAGTTAAATATCAATTATGAGATATTATTATTACTTGAATAATTAATATTTGCTCAATTTAAATGGCAGCAGAAGCTCATAGTATTCTGCAAGTTGCATATTTAAATATTGACTTTTCCTTTAACAAGAATAGACAAAAGATACTACAATTGTGTATTATTAGTATCTTTACTTCAAAATTTTTAAATTGAACCTATAATGATAATGGTTCAAGTAAGTTACGAATTTAGTTGGGAGGTTAAACATTGGAAAAATAACATTGTTAATGCTTTCTTAAAAATGTAAAATTTCTTATTAAAATGAGGGAAAAATAAAATCATATCCACTACTTTTCAACCAAATGTAGTGGAAATGGGTGATTTGATTAACAAATAAAAGGGGATATACAATGGGGATTTGGTGTTCTTGTACATATTTCATCATAAACAAGCTAGTTTTAGCTATTCCATTTCAAGTGTGGTCAAAATTTTTTTTTTCCATTGCCTTTAGTTGAATGCAGTATATGATCAAATATAACTTGAAGCGCTTGCAGAATTCATTATATAGTGGAATTTTAAGCAAATTTAATTTGACTCTTCCTTCACACGCCCTCCTAATTTCACTTATAGAATCTTCCCAATCCATCCATAAAAAACATCAACATATTTAGGCTCCATTTGGACCAAGTTTTTTTGAAAATCCTTTCAAAAAAAAAAAAAAAGAGTCCCTTTTGAGGAAAAATTTAGAAAGCAGTACTCCCTCTGTCCCAAAATTATTGTTCAGTTTAAAATTTCATTTTCAATACAATTTGAACTAAAAATGAAAACTCAAACTGGACAATAATTATGGAACGGAGGGGGAGTATTTTTTAAGAAAAAAATGCATTTAAGGCATTTGGACTAGAATTTTGGAAAAGTGCTTTTTGTGACAAAATAAAGTTGTTGATATGTTTCTTTTCAGTTTCACATTGGAAGGAAAATCGTGAAATAGCTGAGTCTTACTATTCTTTCTTCACCTTGATGCGTAAGGCAGCAGGTTAAGCTCATCCTTCTTCAATCTCTCTATCGAATTTTATTTTCTGGGTCGATTTCTGTTGCTTCGTTCGTGGCTAGAAATGTTGAAAGTTTTAAGTTTTTATTGGAAATGTATGTGTTATCTGGCTTGAATCCTGTTCATTTTCAATCTTAGAGATGAGCTTTAATCTACTCATATCTGAAGAAATTATTCAATTTGTTAATTCCAGAGGATTGCTTATTTGTACCTGCCCTTGTTTTTGAAATTGAAGCAGACTCTGTCATTTTAGGTTCACCCGACACCAAATTCGATCTCAGAAGCACAACTTATTTTATTGGTTGTGTTTGATTTCTGCCGTTTAAGATGAGGAAAGTATGTACTTCTGGTTTTCGTGTTGCCATGACTACTGCTACTCGTGTAAGACCTCTTTCATGCCCTTCTCTTACTCTTAATTCATATTTCGGTTCCCCATTTGGCTTCCATTTTTCTGCTGAAGTTTCTGCAAGTAAGGTTTGTTGCTCGAAATCTGAAAGTTCTAGGCTTGGTTGGCTGAGGAATGAGATTAATGAAATCAAAAGTTTAGATGATGCTCGTGATGTCTACTCCAATATGGTTCGGATGAGGCCTCTCCCTAATGTGATTCAATTCAATCAGCTTCTCACGCGCGTCATTAGTATGAAGAATTATTCTGCTGCCATTGCATTTTACAGAGATATGTGTTTTCAGCGTGTCGAAAAAAGTGTTCCCACCATGAATATGGTCGTCAATTGTTACTGTTTGGAGGGTCGTTTAGATTTGGGGTTTGCTATGCTTGGAGTCTGCTTCAAGCGTGGGCTTGAGCCTAATGTCGTCTCCTTTAGCACTTTACTCAAGGGATGCTTTCGGCTGTATAGGATTTCCGAAGCACAGGAATTATTCAAGAAGATTATACATGAAAAGGAGTGTCGACCGGATGAGAAGATGATTGGGATTATAATAGACGGGTTGTCTAAGGCTGGGAATACTGGGAAATCTATTGAGTTCCTCAGAATCATGGAAAACGAAGATATGAAACTTGACCGTATTAAATACAACCCCATAATTGATGCCCTCGTGAAGGATAAGATGATGGACCAAGCTCTTGATCTTTTTCATGAGATGATTGAGAAGCGTATTGCTCCTACTGTTGTTACTTACAGTTGCTTGATCTGGGGATTTTGTAATTTACGCAAATGGGATGAGGTCAAAAGATTTTTGGCAGAGATGACCCGTTTTGGAATTGCTCCAGATGCGTCACTTACACTATTTTGATAGACTCGTATGCCAAGGAAGGACGGATGAAAGATGCAGAAGGTATGCTGGAAAACATGATTCAAAGAGGTGAGACTCCTACTATAATCACGTATAATACAATGATGGAAGGATATTGTTTGCAAGGCCAAGTAGATAAAGCAAAGGGCATTTTTGATAACATGGTTTCGAATGGTTTTGTTCCTGATATCGTTTCCTACACTGTATTGATCCAGGGATATATTAGGCAACAGAAATTGAAGGAGGCTATGCATTTGTTCCAAGAGATTCAAGTTAAGGGTCTAACTCTTGATATTCGTTCTGATGATGTTATCTTGAAAGGAATGTTTCAATTAGGGGAGTGCTACGCTGCCAAAGAACTTTTTAGTAAGATTCAAATGGGTTCCTTGAAACCTAGTTTTTACACATACTGTGTAATGCTAGATGGATTTTGCAAGAACGGAGATGTTGATGAGGCATTACTGCTTTTGCAAAAGATGGAAATGGATGGGGTAGAGCTACATATTACCATGTATACTATCATCATTGATGGATTTTGTAGAATTGGGAGACTTGATAGAGCTTTTGGGATATTTTTCATTGCTTATCTTCTAAAGGATTGGATCCAGATGTTGTGACGTATACTAGGATGATAACTGCGCTATGCAAAGAAGGTTTGCTAGAGGAAGCTAATGAACTTTTTATTCAAATGGAAGCAAATGGTTGTAAGGCAAATGAGATTACTTACAATGAAATCATCCGAGGACTACTTAAGGGTGCTAAGTATGACGATGCTGCAGTTTATCTTCAAGAAATGCGAAGAAAAGGATTTGTTTTGGATTTATCTAATTCATCAGATGTGTTAGATATAATCTCCAGAAAAAGAAGTCTTGCTCTATATAATGTCCTTCTGAAGTTTGATGCCAATGACAACGTGAAAATTATGCGTGTGTGGTAAAAAAAGTGCAATAATGCCATTTATCAAAAGGGCAGGTGTCCTAGAAAAAGCAGAAAAGAGTGCTAAGATTCGATGTGGCAGTTGGAAATCATAGTGGATGATTAAATTTCAGAAGCCTGAAATGGATGTTTGGGCTGGTTCGCTTTCTTAGTCGAGCATGTGATAGAAAGAATGATCTCTAATCTTTCATTCTTATGCAATGTTTATAGATATATGTAGTTAATGAGAGACTGCTGCTGCAATTATGCTGTACTTGTCTAACTTTAAAAAAATGGTTAACTCTCTTTGGTATTGCAATCATGTTCTTCCATGTTTATTTTGCAGTCACATTCTCATGTTTTGTAGTTACAGATTTAGCAAGTTTCCTAGAAAAGGCTGAAAAGAGTTTGAGTGGGACTTTCGGTATCATGCCAGACCCTCCATTACCTACTTCTGGTATCTGATCTGTTTCATTCTCTGACTTTCTAATGGTGTTGAAACTTTGGACTTGTTTTTATGGTGTTTATTTGCTGCATGGCTATGTTCATCATTTGTTCTCCAGAGGCCGACACTCTACCCTTCTATGTACTTCCGTCCATGTCCATAGCTACACTTCACACTGTCAATTGATGTGTGTTTTCTCTCTCTCTCTCTCTCTCTGTGTCTGTTTTTGCTGCTTTGCTCGGCTGTTCAAGTCACGATCCTACCCAAGATTTTTCATCATCATTGTCTGCAGGTTCTGCAAAACGCCAACTTACATAAAACCTATGAACTTGAAGGCTTGATCATGGTGAAATTGGTCCAAACATTGTCCACCAAACTGCATTCAGAACAGCTTGTTCTGATAAAACAATTCTGTAATCAAGCTCAATGTTGTTTCAGTTGATGCCCATATTCAAGATTCAGTTCCAAGTCACTTTCTGTGAATTGTAAAACTTGGTTAAATAATTCTGTCAAATTTTATCCAATTTTTGAACTCCAACGCATGGATATGAATAAAAGTTTTAAAATCGGTTGGACTAAAACATTTTGACATTATATAAATGGTGATTTATTATAACTCTCTTGGCTATCAATATTTCTCAACTGATCCATAATGATAGAAAATGATAGCCTATATCTATGGTTTGCAAGATTTTGATAAAATGCTTTTTTACAAGTTTGTGTTAATGGTGCGGTATGAAATGCTTCCTCTTTAATATAAGGTGTTTTGATCTGTCTTCGGTTTTATTTAATAGGTATTTTTAATTAATGAAAAAATCTTTAAAAATTTTTCATAATAAGAGAACACAACGAATAGGGAAATATATTTTTAAGATTTTTTTGTCAATTAAAATTGTATATTATGTGAAATCTAGCACAAATCAAAATGTCTTATATTCAGAACCGTAAGAAATACTTATCATTCGTCTTAGCTTTTTATAACATAGACAATCTTGTAAATTTTTAATAAAATTTTTCACGCTTTTGATGATATTTTTTTAAAATTTTTTTCTTTTTTTACAAAAAAGCTACACAAATTATCCTTTAGTCAACTTCCTTCATACCCAAACTTGTGAGGTTCATTGTGTCGGAATAAGTTTTATTTTGGTAAAGAGTAAAACATCATACAAAACCAGGGGTTCAAAGTGCAAAATCAGATCATAATAATTCCATTAACGACTCTGGACTGGAGGGTCTAAACCACCGTGGACTTGCAGTTGGCTCCAGCCGGCGATCATTCCCGGACTTCCTCTCTACTTCCTTTATCTTCGTCCACTTACCGGAACCCTATCAAAAACCCCCCAATTTTTTACATGTTCAATCACACACTAATTCATTCGTAGATTTCAGAATTTTGTACTTGGATACAGTAATCCATTGTCTGCCATGGCGATAGTGTATGCGCTTGTGGCCAGGGGAACTACCGTACTTTCGGAGTTCAGTGCCGTGACGGGAAACGCCGGAGCTGTGGCGCGTCGGATACTGGAGAAGCTGCCTTCGGAAGCTGAATCAAGGCTTTGCTTCTCCCAGGATCGATACATCTTCCATATTCTTAAATCCGATGGGCTTACTTTCCTCTGTATGGCCAATGATACCTTCGGAAGTATGTTTGCACGAATAAATAATTTTATTTGTTTTGTTTTGGGATTTTGACTTTTTACTTTTTGGCGTAGTTGGAAGTTCCGTTTTTATGAGTTTCCTTCTATGTTTGCTGTTTTGGAGAGGGTTTGGGAAGGTCCTGTTGTTGGTTCATTGTTGTTTTTGGAGATTATTAGGACTGAAGTTTGTTTTTGGAATTGATCCTGTGAATGTTGCCTCTGTTCATTGTTGGAAAATTGCTTGATCTTCTATTGGTTTAGATCCAGTTGTTAATTTTTCTTTCTCCTGTTATGGAATTGTATTTGGATCCTTATCTAGTATAGTATTGGGTTTAGTTCCTATCTTAAAGGCACTTTGGTGGGGTTTGTTGGACTTACTTCTTGCTGATGTTATGCCTGTAATGAGAGCTGTAAGTTGATGCAGTTTTCATGTATTTGAGAATACGGTATATTAGTTGAGCTTGAGAGATGCACTGGCTAGACATGATTAGGTGTTTCTGATGAAGATTGCAGGCAGACTATTCTTTAGGGCTTTGCTTCAAGGGTCCTATTGAAAATTGGTCCCTGTTTTGGTTTACTGCTATAAATTAGGACAATATGAAGAGTCTGCAAGAGGGTGCTATCGTTATGAAAACAAATGCTTGTCCTATTGATGCACATTACCTACTTGCTTATTTGTCATGTTCTCGCGGTGAGGCATTAAGAATTGAATTTTGGTTTGCTTATATGGTCCAAATGTTTTTGATTTTGAATTCCTTCAATTAAGTTATATGCATTTCCATCCCTGTTTTTTCCTTATTCCTAGTGGTTAATAAGAAAGTTTGCATCTTGAATACCTTTAGGTACTGTTAGGTTTTGAGTCCTTTTATAACACTGTCACAATTTCTTTTGGATTTTTCGTCCAGGAAGAATACCATTTTCATACTTGGAGGATATACGTATGAGATTCATGAAGAATTATGGCAAAGTGGCCCCTTATGCACCTGCGTATGCAATGAATGACGAATTTTCAAGAGTCTTGCACCAGCAAATGGAGTTTTTTTCCAGTAATCCTAGTGCTGATACTCTAAACCGCGTCAGGGGTGAAGTTAGTGAGGCAAGTATTTTATTCCTCTTTATCAAATAGGAGGGAAAAAGATAAGGGTGGGTTAAGATATTTATTCACAATGTTTTCTTATGCCATTTCAAATTCTTTAGGGATTTGTCTTGTTGGAAGCAAGGTATTTATTATTTCTTAATATTTAAATGTGGTATGGAAAAAAGCATTCATGTTAAGTACTGGTCGAGTCCCCTCATAACATTAAATGAAGTTAATTAGAGTAAACACTGCTTGTTGAATTGCTAGAGTTAAAATATAATCTGTGGGTACTGACATAAACCTCTGTGAATGATCTTTTAATCTTGTTTGTGATGAATGGTACTCATAAAGCTTGGTGATACAATTATGTCTCTAGTTCCCCTTTTTTTAATACTCGGTGGCTAGGATTTGTGCATATTCCTAAAGTATCTACCTGTGTTAGTGCTTTATAGTTTTGACAGCATTTATGGTATGCTTAGAGTGCACAAAATGTATATCTTCACAGGATTTTATCTTCTGTGTTATTTGACCGAACTGCTAAAGTCCAATTAGTTTTGGTTGGGAGTTAGATATTTTTGTTGCTAACTTTAAGTTAGTACTGTTCCTCTTTGGCCTAAGCTTGCCAGTTTGAAATTGTTGTGTGCCACATGGAAAGTCGTTATTGTTCCTTGTATTATTTAAATTTTAAAATGAAAATTTCTGGTTTTGTATATGAAAGCTTAACGTAGGAGTAGCTAATATGTATGACACAAAATTGGGAATATGAATTTTTTTTTCCTGAACAATATGTTTAGTTTTCTCAGCGTATTTGATTCACTTTGAGTATGTCGTGTGCTTGTATAAGAATGTTTCATGGTCTTTTAATTCATTTCTCTTAGCTAATATTCATTCACTTGTGATCTCAACTCTGTTTTTAGATACGGACGATCATGGTTGATAACATTGAGAAGATATTGGAAAGGGGTGACAGAATTGAACTTCTTGTTGACAAAACAGCAACAATGCAAGATAGTGCATTTCACTTCAGAAAGCAGTCAAAGCGCCTTCGTCAAGCTCTTTGGATGAAAAATGCTAAACTTCTGTGAGTAGTTAATTTTCATGTGCAAGCTGGTAGCACACATTTTATCCGGTAGCTATCTATTTTTCTTTTTATTTTGTGTGGAAAATTTCCTTCCGCTAGTTGACTTTACATGAATGCTCATTATATTCAGAAGAAAGGGAAGTGAAGGAAAAACAACCTTTTCCTTAGATATCTTATTGAAAGTAGTGCGTGGAGAATTCCATCCAAATTATTTAATTTTCTCAATGATTTTCATATTTTCTTTTTGTTAAGTAATTTACAACTATGTGCGCTTTGAAAGGCGTGCCACCCCTCGATGAGAAGATCTCATTTTCTAACTTATCAAGCCCTTGAAGGCTTCTACTAGGTCCATCAAGTGTTTGCCCTGAAATATTCTGACATCTACTCTTTCTGCTGTCCGACCTTTCTGAATCATGGATTTAGTGATTTTATTTGTTATATTTACTTTTTTGGCCGGGCACAGCCTGCACTGTGCTAAATTCCTGAGCTGGACCAAACTTTGGGTGCTAGCTTCAATTTTGAAAAGAAAAGGCTTGTCATTAGACGTCTCATTATCTTTGTTCTGGTTTCACTCCCCTTCCCGAAAGATTCAAGTTTGAAACTTTCAGTCTTAAGTTTTTCTCAACCGTGCATTTAAATCTAATGTCCTTATTGTGAAACACCGGGAGGAAAGGGTCTGAGTTGAATATATGGTCAAATAAAGTTCAACTGGTATCCTTTGCTTTTGATGCTTTTATGTATGGGGAATTTATCCTTTATCTCATGTTCTGCTTATGGTACTCGGAGAATTACATATTAGAATTGTTTAAGATCTCTATAGTTTTTTCATTTGGTTATCATTTGAGGAAATTGGCGTGTTCTGAATTGTGTCGAGCTGACGACCGAAATAGGTTTTGTGGTCTTCAGCTGCTACAACACTTGCTTACTCATTAGACGTGAAGGTTTTGTACTGTTCTCATATAACTAGAAAAGTGTTCTTATTTAACTACAAATGCTAGCTTATCAATCTGATCATAGTGGAGCTTGCTAGGGGGCTATTAGTTCATTGAGCCATTATTTAGCTTTGATTATTCGCTTCTCTTAGGTTGAAACTGACATTGGTTAGTAGTTTCATAAATTTGATTCGCTTATGTTCTGTAAATTTGAAGATATGAGAATCTGACTCCCGACCTGAAACTTGGCAGGGCTTTGTTGACGTTCTTGATCGTAGTTTTCCTGTACATAATAATAGCAGCTGCTTGTGGCGGTATCACTTTACCTTCATGCCGGTCTTCATGACTTGCTTGAAAATGCTGTGAAGGATTGTGATGTTGATGATTGCAACACGATATGAGTGTAAACCCCCTTGGTGATTACGATGCAGTATCAAGTGTGGTCATCCATATTTCATTCATAGCATTGTGGTCTGCCTTTCTTGTATCATCCTATTTTGTTTTTATAAATTCCAATTTATTTTAGTCGATTACGGTATTTTCCTGCCATGTATATGTAGTTTGGGTGTTGTGATTTGTGAATATTATTTGTGCCTAAAGTATTTCAAAGCACCTTGTTTTGAAGGAAATGGTAGTTGGCTTATCAGAATTATTGAACTTCACTTTTGCCGCCCCACGATTCCCAGGGTCCCATACTCGAGACACCTTACTAGCACAGTAGAAAAGAAAACAAAATCAGCAGATAGTTTGGTGGTGTAGGCTTAGTGCTCCTCTAAGGACAGTTATTGTGGTTAAATATTAAATATTATCATATAAAAATAATAAACTCATAAACAAAATCCGGATGATCGTCTATAAGTTCTTAGAAATTCTATAAATTATATCACTCTCTTTTTTTTAGAATGATCGTCTTATTCGCTATAATAAATTATTATTTATTGTAATCAAATTACTACTAAGTTGTCAATATGATGGTGAACCTAAATTATGGTTACATTGGCTGGCAAATCACGATCAATTGCTTGGTTGCCAAAGCATATACGTACCTCTTGAACACGCACTCTGGACAAGAAAACAGGCCTTTAGGTATCAACTTACATATTAGCTATATTTCATTTTCATGGATCTCGCAAGTTTATATAGAGTTATCTAACTCTCCGGCCAGTTTAGCTTCTTGTTTTCACAGCGCATATATAAATGGGAATTGGGAAGTGATAAAATTTCAAAAGTCAAATGCTTTTTCTACAGAGGTGTCAAATGCTTTCTTTTCGTACAAGCTGTGATGAGTTTAATGTGGAATCTTCAAGCAGTGAAATACCATTAAGCAATTTAAGGTTGTTAGATAGGACAAAAAGTCGGCTTCGAAAATGAATAAAAGCATCAGTTTCTTCCCAATCCGACTTGATTCTTTACTGTCCTTATTAGAGTATTTCCTTTCAATCCATCTTACAGAGTTACAGACCATTTTCCTTTCTTGCTTAGTTTTCTGTCTCGATCATTAAAACTTCCCAATGGAATCCCTTCTAAGGCCATCTCCATTTCTTACACTTTCAACTTCTCAGCTTAAAAATTGTTATTCATTACTAAACCCTTCAGTTTTTTCTCCTAAACAAAGCATTAATCCGAGGAAATGTCGTAACAGGATCAAAAGCAGTAAGTTTGATAGTTTTCTTGATTTGGAGCCGACATCCAAGCCAGAGGCTATAGATTTTGATGTGTCATGGGTGAACCCTTCTGATCATAGGAGTCGTCGCTTTGATGTAATCATCATTGGTGCAGGACCAGCTGGTTTAAGGCTAGCAGAGCAAGTTTCGCAATATGGGATTCAGGTATGTTGTGTTGACCCTTCACCGCTTTCTATGTGGCCTAACAACTATGGAGTTTGGGTTGATGAGTTTGAAAGTTTAGGCCTTGAAGATTGTTTGGACAAAACCTGGCCTATGGCTTGTGTTCACATCGATGATCTTAGGACTAAATACTTAGACCGTGCCTATGGTAGAGTAAACCGGAAAGAACTCAAGCAGAAACTGTTGAGTGGTTGTGTTATGAATGAAGTTAAGTTTCACGAGGCTAAGGTTTGGAAGATAGAGCATGAGGAATTTGAGTCCTCTGTTGTTTGCAGTGATGGAGTTGAATTGAAGGCGAGTTTGATCGTCGATGCAAGTGGATTTACGAGTCCTTTTATCGAATATGATAAGCCTAGAAACCATGGTTATCAAATAGCGCATGGTATTCTAGCAGAGGTTGAGGATCATCCCTTTGACTTGGACAAAATGTTGCTCATGGATTGGAGAGATTCCCACCTAGGGAATGAACCATATCTACGCCGAGATAACTCAAAGATCCCAACTTTTCTTTATGCAATGCCCTTTTCCTCAAACTTGGTATTTCTTGAAGAAACTTCTCTTGTTAGCAGGCCTACATTGTCATACAGGGATATCAAGAGAAGGATGGTGGCAAGACTGAGACATTTAGGCATCAAAGTAAAGAGTGTCAAAGAGAATGAGAAGTGTTTGATACCAATGGGAGGACCACTGCCTAAAATGCCGCAAAATGTGATGGCAATTGGTGGAAATTCAGGCATTGTTCATCCTTCAACTGGATACATGGTAGCTAGAACCATGTCTCTAACCTCAATTCTAGCTGATTCAATAGTTGAATGCCTTGGGTCAACCAGAATGATCAGAGGGTCTCCACTTTATCACAAGGTTTGGAATGGATTATGGCCAGTTGAGAGGAGATGCATCAGGGAATTCTACACTTTTGGTATGGAGACTCTGCTGAAGCTGGATCTTGATGGAACAAGAGGATTCTTCGATGCGTTTTTCGATCTGGATCCTCAGTATTGGGAAGGTTTCTTGTCATCTAGGTTATCTTTAGTTGAGCTTGCTATGCTTTGCTTATCTCTATTTGGGCATGCCTCAAATCCTTCTAGATTGGATATTGTTACCAAGTGCCCTGCTCCTTTGATTAGGATGATGGGTAAAATGGCTATAGAAACCATTTGATGTTTGTTACAAGGCATTTAACTTATAGAAGTCTAAAATGCTGCCAAAGCTTGCAAGATAACTTATTGTTCTTTTTCAAATTGTATTTCATCTGTCATTTGTTGTGGACTAACTGCATCTTATTAATGAAGCGATGTCTTTATAAACTTTAAGGTTTATGCAATTTAGGTTCAGGTGTTAGTAATTGCAAACAGGGAAAAAAAAACTAATTAAATTAATAATGTGAGGCCATTGATACATAATAGTAAGCGAGAGATATAATCTGATTATTATTTTTCCTTTTATTAAATTAATTGATAGTATTAGATTAGGAGTGGCTTTGAGATCTAAAGAAAACACTATCGAACATCTGGAAAGGTTTCTCTTGTTGTTGGGATATGCTATGGAGAAGGAGAATGTTTTTTTTTTTTTTTTGGAATGGTACTTATGTATTAAGCCCGAAGTACCTACACTATTATATTGTAATTTGCATATGCTAACTTATGCAGATTCCAAACATCGTTCCTATGAACTTTAACTAAAACACAAGATTGGAAAGTAGACATTCATTGTCCTAACATAATTAGGACTTCTTGAGCTATATGTCCATGCCAACATGAAAGTGATACCAACATTCTTGAGAAGGAGAATGTGATACCAACATGAAAGTTCCTCACTTTTCGTACAATTTTGAAGTCGGATTGTTCCTCTTCTTCTTTTCCTTAAAGCCATCTTTGCATATTTTCATATTGGATCGCCTACCATACAAACTTGGATTAAGTTATGTCTCAAATATGGAGAAGCAATAAATTTAAATACCAAATATAGAATGTAAAGGAGAAAGAAAAACATAAAAGCGATCTGTCAAAAATAATGTTTACTAATTTAACTAGCTATTGTTTCGACGATCGCACATTTTTAGTTGTGAGTTTTGACATTTGTTAGAGAATTCTCACGCAAGTTTATTTGAAACCTATTCCCTCTATCTCATAACAATAATTCATATTATAAATTGTGAATTATATTAAAAAATATATAATTTACAATATAAATTACTTTCTTATTATTTTTATGGGAATAAGGAAATACTGAATTTTTCGCTCTCAAACTTGAATTAGTATGGACTCAACCTTAAGTCTGGTTTCTTCAAAAATCAAAATGTGGTTTTGATAGATATTCAAGATAATCCCAATTCACAAAAACCTCCCTTATTTTATCTTTTCAAAAACCGAAACATGGTTTCTTGTCTTAATCTGAACCAATCTAATTCAACATATCCTCATGCATTTGTTTTCTTTAAATACCACAATAAGAAAGCTCTGTTTCAATGTACTAATTTCCTTCTTCTACTGCCTCTAATACAGCAGGTTGTTCCTTTCTCTTGGATCTCTCGATTATCAGTTTTTGGCCTGTCCTCTCCTCCTTTCTCCCCTCCAGTCATGGCAGATGAATTGGCAGTCTTGTATTCCAAACTCTCTTTGAAAAATAACATAACTCTTACTGAAAAACAGACCCCCCTGTTAAACTAGTTGCCTCATCAGATGCTATTGAATTGGCAGTTCAGGGTGTTACTTGTTTGGTCGCCAAAGTCCTTGGTAGCCAGGATTACAGTTGTGATGCTCTTCTCACCAACATGATTAAGGCATGGCACTGCAAGGAAACTGTTGAGGCTGAGTCAATCGGTAAGAATCAATTTCTTCTTTCATTCAATCTGCTTTCGGACAAAATGAGAGTCTTGGAAGGTGCCCCTTGGACCTTGTACGAAAATTTGCTGGTAATTGTGGACTACAAAGGGGATATTTCTTTCAACAAACTCCGTTTCACCAATTCGCCGCTTTGGGTACACGTCTTCAATGTGCCGGCAGACCTCATGACTCGTTCAACGGCTGAATTCGTTGCAAATAAGATTGGCTCCTTCATGGATGTTCAGACAAATGCACAAGGGAATTGCTGGGGTATCTCTATACGAGTTAAGGTTCTGATTGACATCACCAAGCCGATTCCAAAGATGCTAGAAGTTGAGTTCAACGATGAGCCCCTCACGTTGTACTTCCAGTACGAGAAACTTCCAATAATGTGTTTCTTCTGCGGGAAAATTGGCCATCTTAAGAAAGAATGTGATGACAGGTTGTTGAAAGGAATAGCATTGAACGCAGAAGACACGTGGAGAGCATGGTTGATGTATGAAAGCAACAGGAAGAAATCGCCGGCGTCCGGCCGACTCAGATCAGCTGCTGAAGCAAAATTTCGACTGAAATCTCCCAACCAACACCCTAACTCCACCACAATCAGAATCCATTCCCAAACAGAATCCCCCCATATCCGCCCAGATCCTACAAAGCAATCCAACCTAACTATCCAAATCCAAACAACTTCAAATCCTATCTAGGGTAAACCCAACCAAAATCCAATCATGCTCCCTCTTAAACCCCCAATTGACATCAACAGTTCTGAAAATATGCTGATTGATTCAAACCCAGCCACTTTGGTTTATCCCCCTCCAAATAACTCTATAATATCTATTTGATATCCAATTACCCAATGATCCAATTATTACCACACCAAAATCAGTATACCCAAAACCTAACAAAACAGCTCAGCCTGACGACCCAATCCCTCAAACTATTACTCCGACTTCAACTAATCCAATTGCAGTGTGCGTTACCCCAAACCGCCCAGGCACAAAAGAAAAAAATAAATCTATTATCCCATCGCCCAAATCGAATAATACGAACTCAACTCTGAAAAGTACCCGATCCAATACAACTAGAAGCACACTCAAAGATAATAGCCCCCCAAACAGCCAAAACCCTTCGAACAGAATGTCACAGGGTAACTCTACTTTCCCCCTACCCAAACGCAAGCTCTTCAACCCGAATGAACCAATCTCAAAAGAAAACCAACCGCCTCTCCTCCCCACCCCGAAAAAACTCAAACCCTCTACCCAACCAAACCCCCCCTCAATCGTCCACTCCAAATGCCACACCTCTGAAAACCACCAAGCAGAGAAGAAGAAGGAAGCAGCGGCGGAGACTGACAAGAATAGGTCCTGCCGACACAAATGAGTATTATAGCTTGGAACTGCCGGGGACTTTGGAATCCTCAAGCAGTTAGAGAGATTCGAGAATTAGTTCGTAGGAATAATCCCTCTGTTATTTTCTTATGTGAAACTAACTGTTCTACATCTCAATTCAGTAAGACAAAGAGCTCCTTGCGCAAGCTAGGTTTCTGTGTAGATTCTATAGGTAAATCAGGAGGTTTAGGTTTACTTTGGAATAAGGACATGTCTGTCGTAATAAAAGATTTCTGTTCAAGATACATTGATGCTCTTGTATACCCTGCTGATCCTCTCAAACTTTATCGTCTCACTAGCTATTATGGTGAACCGGATACATCACTTCGCCCTTCAGCATGAAACCAATTCAAAAATCTCGGTGCAAGCACTAGCATTCCTTGGTTATGTTTAGGTGACTTCAATGAAATACTGAATCACAGTGAAAGCTTCAGCCGAAGATTAAGGCCGGATCGACAACTTACTGCTTTTAGAGAGGCTCTCGACTCCTGCCAGTTGGATGACCTGAATTACGAAGGGAAGACGTGCACTTGGTTCAGAAATAGAAAACATCCAAATACAATCAAAGCCCGTTCGGACCGTGCCTGTGCAAATGAACTCTGGAGGAGGAAGTTTCCGGGTACAAAAGTCTACCATCTATTCAGTCATCTTTCTGATCACATACCCATTCTTGTTTCTCTAGATCCTGCTACGAACCAGAGCAAAAAAAGAAGGAAAAACAGATTCCGTTTTAAATCACGCTGGATAAGACGGACAGACATTGAAGAAGCCATCAAAGAATCGTGGAACGGAGATAACATTAACATGTTGGACAAAATCAGTAACTGTGCGATTGGCCTAGTAAATTGGGACAAGCAATACCCCAAGGTTAACAGGAAAGCGATTGAAAGTCTCCGAGAAGAAATAGAGAAACTACAAAATGGCATTTTAAATGATCAATGTCACGAAAGCTTGATGGAAAAAAAGTTAATCCTGGAAACACTCTTAACTGAGGAGGATGATAAGTGGCGTCAAAGGGCAAAATTACACTGGCACAAGGAAGGAGATCGGAATACAAAGTATTTTCACGCCTATGCCACTAAGAGAAAGGAGGTTAATGAGATTAAAGGCTTGGAGAACAACCAGGGAATTTGGTGTACAAAAGAGAGTGATTTGGAAAGCATAATTGTCAACCACTTTGGTGAACTCTTCACTGCCAATTCACTACCAACAGATGACCTTCATTTTGCCTTATCCCTAATACAGCCAAAGGTGTCGAGAGACCAAAACCAGAGACTGGAACAACCATATACAGCACTTGAAATCATGAAAGCTTTAAACCAAATGCACCCCACCAAATCTCCAGGGCCGGATGGTATGCCTCCTTTGTTTTTCCAAAAATTTTGGCCTATTATTGGTGATGATGTATCTCAGTACATTTTAAATTTTTTAAACCATGGCACTTTTGATAAAATGTTAAATTGTACACACTTGGTCTTGATCCCAAAAACAAAATCTCCAAAATTCGTTTCTCAATTTAGGCCAATTTCCTTATACAATGTTGTTTATAAAATTATTTCCAAGTGTCTTGCTAATAGAATGAAAGTAATACTTCCACTTGTGATTTCTGACTCCCAATCAGCTTTTGTTCCAGGGAGATTAATTACTGACAATATTCTAATAGCACAGGAACTCCATCATGAGATTTGCAAAAAAACGGGTGGAAAAGAGGGCCTAATGTCAATAAAGTTAGAGATGAGTAAGGCATTTGATAGAGTAGAATAGAAATTTGTGTTGTTAGTAATGCAAGCATTAGGTTTTAGCATGTCATATATATCCCTCATTGAGAAATGCACCACCTCTACTTCTTTCTCCTTTCTTCTAAATGGTCTGGAATTCAGATCACTAATCCCTCAACGTGGTATAAGACAAGGGGATCCTATATCCCCTTATCTTTTTATCATTTGTGCGGAAGTTTTCTCTTTAATGATTCAGGAAGCTCAACGGTGTGGAAACCTTAAAGGTGTACAAGTCGCTCCAACAGCACCCAGCATTTCACATCTCTTTTTCGTGGATGATACCCTTCTTTGTGGAAGAGCAATAGAGCTTGAAATTGATGCTTTTTCCAGCATTATCAGACTTTATGAGCAAGTCTCGGGCCAACTTATTAATCTGGATAAGTCAGCGATTCTTTTCAGCCCAAACGTTCCAAATGAAGTGGCCACAAACCTAGCAACCAGACTCGGTGTAAGACGTACTGATTCGCATGGAAAATATCTTGGCCTTCCTTCGGTTGTTGGCAGGCGCAAAAAGGAGATCTTCAGCGACATTAAGGATCGTATTCGGGCAAAATTTGATGGCTTCACAGAAAAAAGCCTTTCACAGGCAGGGAAGGAAGTTTTAATTAAATCAGTTGCTCATGTGATTCCTTCCTACGCAATGAGTTGTTTCCAGCTCCCTGATACCCTTTGTGAAGAAATTCATCCTATACTTGCAGCTTTCTGGTGGGGTGACACAAAGGGAAAGCAGAAAATTCACTGGAAGAGTTGGGATTCACTTTGTAAACCTAAAGATTATAGAGGACTAGGTTTCAAGAACTTAAAACTCTTTAATCTTTCACTGTTAGGAAAACAGGCTTGGCGACTTTTGACGAACAGTCAGTCACTCCTATACCAAGTGCTGAAGGCCCGCTACTTTCCTGAAAGTGAATTTATGATAGCCAAGCTTGGTTCGCGTCCATCCTTCAGCTAGAGAAGCATCCTCCAAGGAAGAAATGCTCTTAAATGTGGTGCCCGTAAAAGAATAGGGGATGGTTCAACAGTTGATATTTGGGAAGATCCCTGGATCCCAAAACCTTTCTCGTTCAAACTAATCAGCCCGCAAAGTCCTTTCGCAGGCAAGCTGACGGTGAACTCACTGATTGACAACAACTCAAAAGAATGAAATCTTGGACTGTTAAAGCACCTATTCTGGCCTGATGAAGTAACCATGATCATAAATATTCCTTTAAGCTCATCCACTACAAAGGATTTTTGGAGATGGCATTATACCTCATATGGCAAATTCACAGTGTCTTCTTGCTACAGAGTTTTGCAGACCCATCATGGATTCCAAAGCAGCTCGATTGCAGGTTCGTCGAACACAAATGGAGATAATTCAATGTGGAGGAAGCTGTGGAACATAAATATAGCTCCGAGAGTAAAATATCATTTATGGCGTATGGTAACTGACTCCTTGGCAACACAGCAGAACTGATTAAAAGGAGGATTGATACCAACGGACGATGCAAAGGGTGCACTATACAGGAAGACCTGAAACATGTTTTCTTCACTTGCAAAACCTCAAAAGAGGTCTGGTCTAGCAGCGATTTAAGCGGACAGATAAGCTACCCTATTGTTACAGACATCAGGTCTTTCTTAGTCACTTTAATTGAATCTCTTCCAGCAAGGAAACTGCCCTTGTTTGCATCCATCTGCTACAGCATTTGGTCTGCATGAAACACTCTGGTTTTTGAGAATCACACGCTCTAGTCTAAATCAATCCTCAATATGAGTATCTCCCTGCTAGAATCATGGAAAGAAGCACAGCTACATCACTTCCTAACTCCACCGATGACAAATAAGCCAGCAAGCTCCCTGGATTTCATGAATGGAACTACAATATTCTTTGATGGAGCCACAAACCGAGACCTGAATACTTCCGCGATTGGTATCCTAATTTGTGTCACGGACAGTTTTTCTTCACCACGAATTCGGGTGGTTTGATGCGAAACGGGCTATTTTCATAGACGGACATGGGACGGAATGGTCTAGAGCCTTGTGAAATTTTCCGGTCAAATCTTGAAGACTCTGGAATTTTCTAGAGAGGCCCGGAACTCTCTAGAAACGGGTGGAACCGTGTGGAAGCTACCCGAGTTTGCTAGAACCGTGTAGAAGATTCTAGAGACTTGTAGATATTTTGAACTTAGAATATTTTATTGTAGGAATTCTCTAGAATTCCATTATTTTATTATGTAAATAGAATTCTCTAGAATTCTTTAGGACTTAGGGTTTGCCTATAAATACCCCATGCCCCCTTCATTTGTAATCCATCCAAGCTTTGAGTAGGATTCTCAAGCATTCCTTAAGCTCTCTTGTGCCTTCATCATTCTTTCACTTTCAACCTTTCTTAAGTTTTTCTTTGCCTCCGTTCTTTAAAGTATTGCCTAGCTTTGCACGCTTTGGGGGTCTTAAGGTTGAGCTAGCACTTGATCGTTAGTTGTTTTGTGCTAGTGCCGCACGGCCGTTACTTTGAAAAAGTAAGCCCGTGACATTTGGAACTCTTCATCAGGATTCGTCGGATGCTATACTAAATCATATGAAGGGTTGTTCACCCATGTGTAATCGAAAGCTTAGCCGCACAGGAGTCTATCAGGTTAGCAGTTGCAACAGGAATCCAACAACTCACTCTGACCGGAGACTCGTCAGTGATTATAAATCGATTACAATCCGATGAAACTGACCTGTCTGACTGGGGTTTAATACTGGCGGACATTAAAGCTCGTTTTCAAGATCATGTCCAATTTGACTGCCAGTGGATTAGCCGTAAATTTAATGTGGTTCCTCATTATTTAGCACAATTTGCAAAGTCTAAAAGAGACTTTGAAAAATTTTGGGATAACATTCCCGAGTTTGTACATTGCTTGTTGGGCGCTTTCCCAGCAAATTAATGAAATTTCGCTCTTATTCAAAATATATATATATATATATAGATATATGGACTCAACCTCATGACATTATAAAATCAACTCATGAAATTATTATTTTTTTAATATTTGCACTTCGCTCAACATTATTATTTGGAGGACGGTGTCCTAAGTAAACCCCCAATCATTATTTTTATTTTTAGTGTTTCATTTTGTTGGAGAAGCTTTGAAAATAAAAACTAAAAAAAAATGGAAATAAAAAAAATAATAAAAGAAGAAGTTATATGCGATATTTTTTTTCATTTGGGAAATTGGTAGATACTCTCTCCCTCCGGTCCTTAAGGCATTTTGATTTGTCTTAGATTTAATTTAATACGTATTTTTAATTTATAGAAAAATCTAAAAAATATTTCATAATAATTAAGAGAATATAAGAAATGTGAAAATATATTTTTAAGATTTTTTTTGTTAATTAAAAATGGGTATAAAAAAATATTTCATGACAATTAAGAGAATATAAGAAATGTGAAAATATATTTTTAACATTTATTTTATTAATTAAAAATGGGTATAAGGACCGAGGGAGGGAGTAATAAAGAAGTGCCGCGAATTTGCTTGCGGTTGTTCAAAGACTTGTCAAAATCTCCAGCATAAACCCAAAATTCCATTGCTTTTGCTTTATTTTTCTGACGATTAATCTCATCTAGGGCTCGAGAATTTTGTTTCTTTGTACTACTGTTCTTGAATCCGTACCGTTATAGACCGAGACAAATGAAGCCGATACGGCTGCCGGAGCCGCCGGCTAGCCCGCGGGGATTCGGCGGTGGCGGTGACATGGATATTTTCGAGACTGGAATTTCCGGGGTCATCCGTCGAGCCGTTATAATTGGTAATGGCTTCACGGCTTCTGAGAATCAAAGTCTGGGTTTGGTTCATGCCCTTGGCCTCTCCGACAAGCAAACTCTTTATGTAAGTATACACCTTTGTCTCATCTTTATGTCCTTTTTGATTTCTTACTTCTGTTGAATTGAATGATAATAGTGAAATTGGGTTTTATTGTATGATCTATAAGAGATCTTTTGTAGTTTGAGCGCAATTTAAGTTGTTTAAGCTAGGTCAGTTTTGCTTCCAAGTTGATACAATCTTTCTTGTAATGTTTCGCCCCCTCTGAACCCACCTTTTTGTGCCAGCTTCGTCATGCTTTAGCTTTTACAAATAAATGGAAAACATACTGTCTCAAAATGTGTTGGTTGCCCGAGATTTTGGTTTTTATTTTATTTTATTTTCTTTGAATTTGACGGTTTGCTGCTGTAAGATATACTTCTTGTTCATTAATTGTGTTAAACTCTTAATTTCTTGTGATGATTTGAGAGTTTTACCTTCACCATAGATGACTTAAGAATATGTTGTGTGTTGAAGCTGATTTGAGGGATATAAAGAGTTATTGTACATGTGATGTGTAGATTGCATGTGGATGCCTGTAATTATATGCCTGAATATGTATAAAATCGGGCATTTGGATTGGTGGAGATTTCTCAACGTCAATGTGCAATTTTCATTTTTTAGTATTGGTATTATAGGGAGTTTGAGAACATTTAAGAGCAATTTTGAATCACTGATGTAGTATCTCTCTGTCATTTTCAACCATGCAGAGGGTAACAAGGCCAAGAGGAGGTGTCAATGATTGGTTGCATTGGCTTCCAGTTTCTGTTCACAAAGCGTTATACTTCATAATCAGTCAGTTTTATGGTTATTCTTGCGTTTTATTTACCGGGAGAGGGAAAAGGCTCAAGCCTCTTGCAGAAAATGGTGCTGCTACTGGCCTAGCATCTATTCTAGAAGCTGATGTACGGAAAATAGTTGCAATGGCCCGTGATACTTTTGAGAAGTACGCGCTTCTCTGATAATATTGTTCCATCTGTTTATTAAATCTTCCAGTCTTCTAACTACCATCTTTTGGTCCCCAGTTCCTTTTTGTCTGTTTTCGTGAAAAAAATTTATTAGCATATTGTGTGCCTACATAGATTTTGACTGAATGCATTTGTTATTTGTGTATATTGACATTTTAAAATCCTAAATCTGTTTTCAGGGAAGGCCCATTACTCGTGGTGGCATCTGGGAGAGATACAATATCAATTGCAAGCTCCATTAAGAGATTGGCTTCTGATAACGTATTTGTCGTCCAGGTATGTGAGTTAACCTTGACCTTTTCAAAAGGAAGATATTCTCTGTAGGATTTCCTTTTTGGTAAATTGTCATTTGCCGAGAATGAAGTCACTTGGACTCTGATGATTTTTCGATGTGTTTTGTGTGTGCTATGGATAGTAATTGTCTTGTGTGAGGACTGAGTAGATAAAGTAGAAATGCGGATATGTTTAATCTTGATGACAAGCTTCTATAAATGTTGACGTTTGACTTGCCTGCTGTATGGTAGCAATCTTGTAGACCATTTGCATTTTCTTAAATTGTATAGCATCAACAGTACACAAGTCTAATCGGAATTAATATACTGAATTTACTGCAAATGTGGGTTTATGCGGTATATTTACTTTTTTTTTTTATTTTTTTTTATTGAATTCTTGGTTGCTTATCATGTATAGTTTCTTTTGAAGATTGTGTTCTGAAGTGTTATAATTTTTTGGTTATGCTTTTATTGTTTCCACGGTTCTTTGATTGATTCTTTGATTGAATTTAGCTGCATGCTATTCATGTTTTTTAGGCTTGGTTTGTGAAATTTCAGACCTACCAGGGTAAATCATACTATGTAACTTTAACTAAAATGTTTAATCAGTGCTTTGTGTTGAGCTGACTTGTTTTATAATCCAGAGTACATTGCCTTTTTTCTAATCCTTTGTGTTGAGAGCAAGAGTCGTTTTATCTGGTATTATTATGCAAAGTTTTTACTATTTCATGATTTGGTTGCAGATTCAACATCCAAGATCTCACTTGGAAAGATTTGACCTGGTGATTACCCCTCAACATGACTATTATCCTTTAACTGCACGCGCTCAGGAGCAGGTTCCTACAATTCTGCGAAGATGGATAACCCCAAGGGAACCTCCTGATAGGCATGTTGTAAGTTTCTCCGTCAAGTGTTTTAGAACTAACTTACGCAACCAACTTAAATTTACTGATGATATTGTGATTATATCTTCCTTCTGTACGGTACTTCAGGTCCTAACTACTGGAGCTCTTCACCAAATTGATTCTGCTTCCCTTCGTAGTGCAGCTAGTGCTTGGCATGATGAGTTCGCACCTTTGCCAAAGCCACTACTTGTCGTCAACATAGGAGGCCCTTCAAGTACTATCCTTTTCTTTTTACTGTGTATAAGATTTAAATGCTCTGGGTTTGCTTTTTGAATTTAAGTACCCGTGGTGCTTTGATGAAGTGTCACGTAATTGAGCTGTTGTAGCTTTGCACACTTAATTTGCTATTGCCTCCCTCTGTTATGGGCAAACTGTGGTTTGGTTGTTCTCCATTTGTTATGATGTAAAAGATAATAGTGATGAGATAGAGAAATAGATGTTCCCTTGTGTATGATGTAGCTGCAGTTGTATCATCAGTGATGTTATTTGAGACTGCTAATTATAATTGTTCTGTTGCAAATGCCCCTGTTCAACTGTGGCTCTTCCCAGATTTTTCACATAAACACCTGTTGTTTCACATGGATACTCTCTGCACTCTATGACCCATCTTTTGGTCTGTTCGCTTACTTTCATGGAAATTATCTGTGGAATTTACTTATTTGCTGAGTAAGCTTTTGAGTGATTGAACCAACAATCTGAAGTCAGCTCAATAAAGCTACATGTCCAGTTTGAATTTTTTTATGTTGATACATTAACCACAAGTATGAATAAATTTATGAGAAATAAAATAGTAATTTGATGAAATATTTTAGTGGGTCACATGGTAACTTGTATCTGAGTTTTTGTTTGATCTCTTTGATTGTTGCCCCACATTCTTTTATGCTGTTGGCATCGACCACTCCTCATTCTTTTGCTTTTATGCCAGTTCAGCGGCTTTCCACTTCCTAATTCATTTTTGGTACATATTTTAATATTTTATTTTGGGATGTTTATCTAGGGTATTGTAGGTATGGGGTGGACCTCGCGAAACAGTTGACATCCTCTTTGCACAATGTTCTAGAGAAGTGTGGGAGTGTAAGAATATCTTTCTCACGAAGGACGCCAGAGAAGGTAAAAAGGAGAAGTAACCTCTCTATTTTTTCTGAAAGTACAAATTTAACATTATGGATTCCTGCAGCTGTTAAATTTTCCGTTCACGACTTTTTATGTTTTAAAGGTGTCCAAAATTGTGGTGAAAGAACTTGGAACTCATCCAAAAGTATTTATATGGAATGGTGAAGGTAAATTCCTGATTCTATGTTGTGGAGTTTCTGGTACCTTTTTTCCCAAGTATTCATTTGTGATTATTGCATATTGTTGTGTAGAACCCAATCCTCACATGGGCCATCTAGCTTGGGCGGATGCTTTTGTCATCACAGCAGACTCAGTTAGCATGTTAAGTGAAGCTTGTAGCACAGGGTATGTTTGAGGTTTCAGTGGCACTTATATTTTTGGAGTTTATTTTAGTGTGTTATTATCAAATTGGTTATTTGAACTACTCCAAGGAACTTGGTGTAAAATTGATGTATGGCTTTTACAGGAAACCTGTTTATGTTATTGGTGCTGAGCGCTGTACCTGGAAGTTCGTGGAGTTCCATAATACTCTGAGGGGACGAGGTCTAGTTCGGCCATTTACTGGTTTTGAAGATGTAAGTAGAGATTGTTTTGCTGTTAATGTGTAACGAAAGAAGTTGATAACCAAGGAAGAAATAGTTTTGGTTTATTTTGTTTTGATAATAATATTTTTCTGAAGATGTTTCTATTCTATCCTTTTTGTGCGGGACGAAATAGAGATGGAAAAAAAATAGATCAATCCGATCTAATTTACTTTAAGATGCATATTATTGTACCCTGCTTAAAACACTTCTTCCTACTTTTGGTGAGACTGGGTCAGGAGATAAATTTAATTTGATATGCTTTGCATTTATCCGGTAGGTTGGTTTTTTAGCTAATCTTTTTGTTAGACACTTTTAAATTCTTTGGAACTATTTTCATGGAATTGCTGGGTGTAGTATATAAATATGCATACTGTTGCTTACTAGTGAGAACTTGATCCCTTGCCTTGTTGAATCTTACCCTTTGTTTTCTTTTCTCAACAGTACATCGATTATATTCACAATTCCTTTTTGCATTATGGAAATGTAACCGACACCCTGGTTGCATTTAAACTCATGCAGATGTTTGCTTTAGCAACTCATGGAATATGTTTTTCTGGGCATATTTAGTATTGTCAAGCATTCCAGAGTCCACTTGTCTTCATACTATGTAGCTGTGGTAGTTTTATCTTTCTACTTATTTCTATTTTTCCCCTGTGACTTGCTCTTAAAATCAGATGTCTGAAACCTGGAGTTATCCTCCTTTAAATGACACTGCTGAGGCGGCGAACCGGGTGCATCAAGCGCTGGCTGGACGTGGGTGGAGGATACGACCATAGGATACCAATTCTTCTTGTTTGTTGTGAAGTAACAAGAGTACATTCTGCCAAAAGCCACCGCAAAATACCTTGTTTTGCATAGTATCAGTTTGTTCAAGATTTTGTAGCTGGACCCTACCACTGGTAGATATTGTTTGTAATGGGAATTCAGTGAACCCTATTCTTTTTCCTCGGGTGGGTGGTTTGGCATGTTTACAGGAACTCAGCTTTGATTTTTATATTAAACGGCTCTGTAATATGTGAGTGGTTACCGTTGAGAAGAATTGCCTTTTTTTTCCCTCTGTATAGAGTTAGTTCTGAATTCTGACAGCTTATCCATGTTGTTAAACTCTTATTCTGTTGTCAATAATGCATGGACAAATAACCTTGATCCTGTTTACCTGACTATGAAGGAGTTGTGAAGTGGTTGGGGTTTTTTTTTTTTTTTTTGTGTGTGTTTGTGTGTGTAAAAGAGTGTTAGGCTTTTGCTACCAGAGTACAGTAGTTGGCATTTTGGCTTTTGATTTAATTTCCTTTGTGTTTGATAAATAAAATCAAACTGTCAAGTCAGTCCACAATCTTAATGAAAAAAAAAAAAAAGAATTAAGGAAATGAAGTAAGAGCCAAGTTAAGAAAGAGAAAGAAAGTTGCTGGTAATTATCAATTTTTGATATATTTCTGGTGAAGTTTAAGAGCATCAATGGAATCAGTATTATATGGCAAAGCAAGCATTCAACAGCAACAAACAGCTACCCATTGAGAGTCGTTAGTCGTAACAGCTACTCCAACATCCACAAACCATACCTAAACCATGATAGTTAGAAGATAGTTTGATTATCATTATTATTAGTGAATTGTTAGAAGCTAGTTTGATTATCATTATTATTAATTTTAACTAGTTTGGTTTGATCAAAGGAGATAAATAGAAAACATTTATGTGTCGATGAAGTTCCTGTAATCCAAAGCCATGAACTATTGACTGAATCATCCATCTGGTTGACGGAAATATAGTGATGAACCACTGAGCTTTTGGTGCTTACCCTTTGCAATGGTTGTTTTGAATACCACACCACCATACATTTCTTACAAGCGTTTTAAAAATGCCTTTTTAACTCCAAAATGAAAACATGCTGATTTTATTTCTTTGCAATTGTTACCATCACTTTCAAAACATGAAAGCAGTGTCTAAGCTTCAAAACAAAGCAAAAAGGAAAAACCAAAAGTGAAAAAGAACAAAAGAGTTGTGGAAAATCTAAAGCTTTTGATGTATGACCAAACACATACAGAGATACATTAACAAATTGACTGCTAGTGAAGAAATTTGGTTAATCATACACACTTCACATATCTTTAATACGTGTTTACCCAAACCAAACTCTACCCCCAATTAATTTTAATTTACAGGTCTGTTTTTGTTAAAGACAACCCTTAATTGCAACTTTTTTCGTACAAACAACCTATTGTTTAAAGCCTAATGGAACTGTTGTCTGTAAGTCTACTGTTTTTTTGCCAATAATCTGAACAAAGCCAGAATAGTTGTTAGTTTATTAGTCCCAAAAACAGAAAAAAGTCTACTCATGATGTTCAGGGGTGGAACAGGTGAAGCAAACAAAACCTCTGAAGAATCATGTCAAAACTAATCCATTCATCAATCTCTTAGGTGGTCATTCTGCGGTACGACTATATAATTAGGCCATTTCCAAAACATTTTCCACAAACGACTTTCCACCAAAACAAGCTGAAATTCATCAGAAGCATTTTCTCTTTTGTAATCACCTTTTATTTGATTTACAAATGGAGCCAAGTCACTCAACCAAACAGACCAGCGACACAGCAATCCTCATCGACGAGCCCTCTAGGTCTACCCGAGGAAAATCTGCTGCTCCTGTCGCCATTGCTGCTAAGACGAAAGGTGGTTCTTACCAGAAAGGAGGATGGGGAAGGGGTATCGCGATTTTCGACTTGATTTTGAGGGTTGCTGCCCTAGTTGCTGCCTTAGCTGCCACAACCACTATGGGAACAACTGATCAAACTCTGCCTTTTTTCACTCAGTTTTTTCAGTTCCAAGCTAGCTATGATGATCTTCCAGCTTTCTCGTATGGATCATGCAATGCAAACTAAATTTCTTTTTTTTTTTCAAATAACAAATCGCTATGAATATGATCCAAACTGATGGATGGTATTTCATCTGAAAAATGTTGTAGGTATTTCGTCATCGCGAATGCGATTGCAAGTGGCTACCTTGTTCTGTCCTTGCCTTTCTCCATCGTCTGCATTGTTAGGCCACATGCAACTGGAGCAAGATTACTCCTCCTCATCTTTGACACAGTAAACTAATTAACTATAAAACCTCATTCTCAATTTTTTTTCCTCAGCTCTGACTATTAGGTTTTTTTTTTTCCTGTTTCAGCTCAATTTTCAATGCACCTTTTTATATTTCCGTGTATGCATTGAAACCCGCGAGACAGAACAAACAACAACGAAACAAAAATCACGAAACTAACCAAAATAGAGCTTTTTTTAAAAAAAAAAAATTATCACTCAAATAGTAACTAAAAAACGGTCATTCTTGTTTTGATTGTTGCAGATGTTAGTAGCTTTCACGACGGCTGCAGCAGCCGCGGCTGCTGCCATCGTCTACTTAGCGCACAACGGAAACCAAAACACGAACTGGCTCGCGATTTGTCAGCAGTTTAACGACTTCTGCCAGAAGGTGAGTGGAGCAGTGGTGGCATCGTTCATTGCAGCAGTCATCTTCATAGTCCTGGTTGTGCTTTCTGCTATAGCTCTCCGACGACGCTGATCATGATGAAGACAAACAATTTGGATTAAAAAAAAAGAAGAAGAAGCTTTTTGTTCATTCTTTGTGTACTGATTTTTCTCATTAGAATTTCCACTTGTGTTACATGTCAATTGCAGTGTGTTATGGTTTGGATCATGTGTTTAAGTTAATCAACTATATTGGGATTTTTTTTTTTATACTTTTCTTTCGGAATTCATCTACTCCCTCCGATCTTTAATATAATGCATTTTGACTTTTTCTAAGTTTAATCTAGTACACATTTTTAATCGACGGAAAAATTTTAAAAATATTTCATAACAACCAAGAGAACACAACGAATATGAAAATATATTTTTAAAATTCTTTCGTTGAATAAAAATGTGTACTAGGTTAAACTTAGGACAAATCAAAATGCCTTATAATAAGGACCGGAGGGAGTATTTCATTTCGCGTTCTCAATTCTCAAGTTTCCTTTTCGCTTCATACAACAGTCTTTTCGAATTTTATTTGAGTTGGTTTCATATGGTAATTTATATCCTAAAATGGTTCACACTAGATGGTGGACTTGTTTTAGGAGTTGTGTTACACGCTTATATTTTTATCATAATTTTTAAATATAACCACGCACTTTAAAATTACTCTCTTTATTTTTCTCCCATATCTTATCACAATTTAGATAGTGTACAAAAAATCCAAATTGAAAATCCCATATATTTTCACAACTATTGGCGGTTCACTTAACTACTCATCTATAAAATAAGAAACAAGGTCTTGCATCTTTCTTTCGTCCATTTATTAATTGCAAGATCAAGCTTGATTTAAATCAAAATCCTTTTGATGATATCATTTATAATGATTCTATTATTCTCATGAACGATGATTATGCAGAAGTTTATCAAGGAGACAACAATGACCATCACTCAAAAGATAACAGTAACTACAGTCTAAATTAGGATTGCAGTCTTCATTCCAACATGGAGACCGATGGAGCCAACGTATTGAAGATTGCAATGAATTTTTTACTCCTGCTATATTTGATCTCGTGCTCATGAATTATACGTATTGAAGATATGAATTTTTTGCTCTCACTATATATGAATATCGTTCTCATGAATATAATGTCTTCAAAATATCAATTTTTCCATGTGAACAAGGGTATTTTGATGTCATGCATAGTTGTATACTTTTAGAATATTAACCAAAACTTTTCACCTTATGCATATGAACATTTGAAATAAATATTATGAATAACATATGTAACGTTCATGAATTTTTAAGTTATATTTTTGTTAAAACCTTTTATCAATGACATGAACATTATTTATTGTGATCATGAATTTTAATTTAACTCGTAATAATGTGAATTTGTGTTAACATATAAAGTCTTTATCATGAACGTGTATGTTATTAAATATGAATATAGTTTATTGATTTGTATTTATGAGTTAACGATTAATTTTATATTTGCATATTTTCATATATTCTCACGAACATTGGTAGACTATATTATGGGTTTTAATATACTATGTAATATAAATTGTGTTTATATCTTAATAACTAACTTAAATTTGTTCAGGATTATATCTTATGGTAGTGAGATGACGAAGGCTAGAATCGAGGAGAAGAGTTAAAGTCATATTTGGTTATTTATTTTTTACCTTTTTATACCGCATTTTAAGTAGTTAGTTTTAGATTTTTTTTCTCAATTTTTAATTAGAATTTTTATAAGCGCGTGTAGTATGAAACCAGTTCACCTAAAACAATGAATCATGGTGTACGATATAATGACTCGTTTCATATATGCACACGAAAAGTAACACGTTTTTTGTTTAAGGAAATAGGCAGTTCGAATGAAAACTTAACATGTACTCCTTCGGACCAAAAAATGATTGTCCAATTTAGATTTTCATTTTTTCTAATTTAAATTATACTAAAAATGAAAATTCAAACCACATAATAATTTTGAAACTAAGAGAGTATTATTTATGGACAAAAATTTTGTGTGATCGTCGTATTAACAGTTTCAAAATAAAAATATATACTCTGTCACGTGCTAATTACAAGTTACAAATTTTATTAGTAGTAATTTATACTTTATACTCCCTCTGTCCCATAATTGTTGTCTAATTTTGTCAAGTTACATAATTTTATTTTTAGTCAAACTCAACCAAATTTTGGAGTAAGCTTCCCAATATACCCGAGCATATATACATAAACTGGTTTAATCGACGAAGGGAAGAATTTCTTTTACTTCTTCACTTTAGCTCCCCAATTTAAAAACCAATCTCAAAACCCCAGAGTAACACCTTCAATTACTTTTCGATGAGACATATAGCTATAATAGAACCAAACTTTCAGATGGAGAATATAATTTCAAGTTTCAATCTTCTTAATCTAAGATTCAATTTGGTGTTTATGAAGATAATCCCTTATATTTTACCGAAAAATTTTTCGCCGTCATAGATCGGTGAGAGTTCTTCATCTGTGATCCCATCGGTTGTGCTAAATAGAACCAAATTTTCAGATGAATTCTTTTCAATTTAGAGAAAGTTCTTACTGTGAGCTTTCATTTGATACTCATCCGTACGATTATTATTTCGTCGGGATGCCCTTTCGAATCGATCGATTACAGTTTCAACTCCGACTTTGCCGGAATCGAGAGAGTAATTAAGACCACAACATATAATAAACATAGAAAACTTGTAAAAAAACACATTTACGGAATTAGATTTTCTTTTGGCCAATATATGGCACGTGATCAACACGTAAAAACATAAAAATGGGAGTTTTTGTTTGTTTCAGTAGAGTTCGATTGAAATTTTATTGAAACCAGATCAAACTTGACACACAAAATAGGAAGGAAATATTCAATGAAAAATCAAAAGGAAAAAAAATTTATAAAATCACTATGCACCAAGAAAATAATTAGTTATTGCTGTCAGATGGTGAATAACAATAATTAAGGATTTATCCGTCATCTTTATAGCTGGTCTAAGTTTATCCATTTGAGCTTAGATGTAATATACATTAAAAACTTTCCTTGGAAAAATTTCACCATTTTATTAGGAATAAATACTACTTCCTCTGTCCCAAAATTATTGCCGAGTTTGAGATTTCATTTTTAGTATAATTTGAACTAGAAATAAAAATTCAAATTGGACAATAATTATGGGACGAAAAGAGTACTTTTTATGCCTATATTTTCTTAGATAATGGGAAAATAAAAATAAAAAATTTTACACTATTAGTGAAATAACGATGATGATAATATTGTCAGTCACGTGGCCTTTTTCCACCGTTAAAATTCCGCCACCCAAAATTCCTCCCCTCTTCTTCCACTTTCTTCCCCAAAAATCCCCCCTCTCCTATTTTTTCTCTTTCTTTCTACACGCACTCACACAGTCACACACAACACAAACGAACAAAAACGCACAGACTTTTTATTTATCTTTGCCTCGAAGTTATTATCCTTAACTTTTTCTCTTTTCCCTTTTTCTGCTTACACACACAGTCACACACACGAACGAACCCAAAAGACCCCTCCTTTACTCACTTCAATCACTACCCTTCTCCCACTCGTTCAGCTGGTTAGTTTTTCGTTTTTCTTTTTTGGAATTTAATTTTCGAGACGAAGAGTCAACTCTAGGGTTCCTCATTTCAACGGCATGTGCGTGTAATTGGGTCTCGATTTTTTTTTCTTTGAATTGTTTTTGTTTTGGTTTTTTTTTGGCATGTGATTTCTGTCCAATCTTGATTCTTGCGTAAAAGGGTTTCGATTTCCTTGATGATTTGTCAAGATTGTTGCTTTTTCCCCCATCGAGTGATTTTTTTTTTTTTTATACTTTAATTAGGTTTCCGATATGGATTTGCCATGATATTTTGATTCTTCGGCATTTCAAGGTTTCCCCTTAAATGGTTGCTGTTTGTTTGGCGTAGTTCTGTAATCACGTATACCTGATTCGCCTTTCTCACTATGCATGAGCTTCGATAGTAGTCTGTTCTTTTTATTCCGAAGTTATTTTATTAGGATAGGATGTTTCTGAAGGAATTTATTTGGTTTGGTGGCGTTTCTTTATTATAATAGTTTAGAAATGATACCGATGTGGAGCATGTTTTGATTTGGGGTTTTTTGGTGGATTGATGGATTTGGTTGCAGTTTGACTTCTGGAGTTGCTGTGAGCTTGAAACTATTTCTTTCGGGTAATTTCAAGAACTTTTCATCAAAGAGGAAATTTTTTTTAACGATTTTGGAGATCAAGGTCTCATGAGAATTGATAGGGGAATGCAGAAAAGGAGTCTTGAGGATCAGAGTTTATTGGGCTGTAACGAATCATTCAGCCGTGGAATTGGCGTGACTGCGCCCAAGGCCAGAACACGTGATAAATTCAAAGCTATGTTTTTGTGTCTCTAATTTTGGTTGAATAAAGAGAGTGATTTGCCCAAGGGGTTCAGGTGAAAGAAGATTAATAAAATATGACACGAATTTTGGTTCAACGTGGTTCAACTGGTTCGGCATCATCATCTTCTTCGAATCAGACTAGACCTTCGGCAGTGTCACCAGCACCCAGTTCGTCCTCTTCTGCACCGCCAACCCACTTGCAGGCTACGAATAACAATACTGGTAGCCAAAATCAGGCCTTTTCGACTCCTAAGGATGAGGAATTGGTAGAGGAAGACCAAGAACAGGTTCTTCTGGATAATTGCTCAGAGCAGTGTAGTGCTCCCGATAGCAAGGGAGTCAGAGGTGATGATATTTCTGTAGAAAGCTTAAATATTGGAAATAATGACGACCAGGAAGAGGTTCTTGGTAATGAGTTGCTTTCTAAACATGATTTCATGGGTTCTGGAGATTTGATGAAAGGTGGGCTGAGTGTGGTGGAAGAGGAAACTGAGGGTCCGGTTGTGAGTTCTGTGCAGATGGTGACAGGTAGCACATGCCCTCCTCCTCCTCCTGTCCCTCCTCCAAGACCTGCTTCATTTAGCTCAAATCTCAGAAGATCTCCATCAGGTTCTTCAAATGCTTTGCGATCAGCATCATCCTGGAGACCTGCTGGTCGGCCAACTGTGTCAACACGGACTTCACCAACTGGGTCTCGACCTTCGTCTCCTCGTTCTCACTGTGAAAGTGAAGGTTATAATAGTGCTGATGAGCAAAGTTCTTGCTTTGGGTCCTCATATGACGATGCAGTGAGTTTAACTTGAACTAGGAACTAAATTTCTGACACCGTTGTGTTTTTCTTTAATCATATGAAATTAAGGCATTCTGGATTTTGATTATTTGGTAAACTTTTCGTTGTTTTCTCGCATACTTAACTGCTTAGCTATTATGCCAATGAAAGGATTCACGCTTAGCTTGATTACAGATACTTTCGGGTCTGTAGAAAGTGTTCATGTGCAACAGGGTACTCTGAAATGCATCTAAAACTATTACAGTCTGCTTGTTTTGTTAGCAGCTGACACTAGTGAGATTTTTCTTTTTCTGAGCTTATAATGAGGCATTCAATCATCTTCCTTTCAACTTGAAGGGTCAAAATGCTTCTACGTGTAGTAACCGATCATTTTAAGTGGGACAAGCTTTACCTTACGTTAGGAATCATGATCATTTCATTTCTTTATCTTATATGTCGATAGGTGGTTCCATTTACCACTTTAATGTTGGTGATTCCTACTTTTCAGGAGAGGGAGCGACAATTTGAGTTGGACCTAAGACGGGTAAAAGGGTTAGAAGTAAAGAAAATGCTAGAAGATGGGAACTGCTTGTTTCGTGCTGTTGCTGATCAAGTTTATGGTGATTCAGAAGCGTATGATTTGGTGAGACAGATGTGCATTGATTATATGGTATGTGCTTTTCTTTTCTTTTCTCTCTCTCTCTCTCTCTCTCTCTTTTGGTTTATCTGTTTGTTGCCAGCACTCTGGTTGTTCAGGATCTGCTTTGGAAAGCCCTAATGGTAATCCAAATGTCATGATGCAAACTTTTGTTATCGGTGGTATTTAGTTGTTAGGGATGGGAGAAATCCACCATAGTGGTATCTAGGTCGTAGTTGTTTTCGAATATCATTATTTCACCCACAAATTATGTACATGTAGCTGCATTTGTTTGAGCTGAATATTTTTTATGCATGCTTATAGCTTCATTTCCTGTTGGACACGTGAAATCGGATAGAGAATGGTGTGCAATATGGCATCCTTATCATCAATATGTCTTTGCAAATAACTTAAACTAGGCCTGTATTTTGGAAGCCAGGTTTGTAACCTAAACAAAATACATAAAGACAATGATTATCAATGGAAATACTTTTAACACCAATCATGCAGATGTAAAGCTTCCATACTTGTTTACTTTTTCCCTAGTAAAACTTCCATATCCCGTCTACTTGCTCCCCTTACCGAGTGATATTGTTGTTGGTGAACAGGATGAGCCATATAATTCAGGCCTGATTTTAAAAGAGTTTTAAGTGGGCCTAATTTCAGGTTATATTTAAGACTGATGGGAATTTCATATCCTTGGAATGGATGTCTAAACTAAGGTGTATAGTTTTGGGCAGTCTGCCATGGAACTTTTTGTGGTATATACTTCATTGTTTATTCATTGATCTTACAAGGGTTTTCTTTCAGATCTTGTTGGTTTGTGATCTTTTTTTAGTCTTTAGTAAATGTGAACTCCTTGTTTGATTTGAATCCGGAGCAAGTTATTTATTTTTTTGTAGGAGCGAGAAAGGGACCACTTTTCCCAGTTCATTACGGAAGGTTTTACTTCCTACTGCAAGAGGAAAAGGAGGGATAAGGTATGCATATCCCAAACAAGTATTTCTTGTTTCTTTTGACTTGGTAATTTTCTTGTAATTTCTTATTTGTTTTCGTCCGGGTTTATTAGGCAAATCTGATGAGAAAGCATGTTGTTGAATTCCTATTTGTATTATGCATGAGCTAGTTCAGAATGTGGAGCATGGTTGTCCTAAATTGTGCACATGTCATGGTTCGTTTTTGCTATCAGTACTTCTACTACTCTCTTTAGCAGCAGCCAAATGAACATATTGCTAGGATATTTGTCAGTCATGCAAACTTTCCTGCTATAGTTGTCTGTAAATTGCATGAAATCTTTGTGCGTGATGGCAGTTGGACTTGTTTATTCGCTCATGTTTGCCTCTGATCTTTTCACTCTCTTATCTAGGTCTATGGTAATAATGTTGAGATTCAAGCTCTATCTGAGATGTATAATCGGCCAATTCATATATACTCTTACAGTACAGGTACTTTATCTAGAACTGATGATCATAGTACATTCATCTGTTGTGGATTATGGGGGTAACATACTATTTTAGAAGTCAACTATCTTGTTAACAGTTTTTCAATACAGATCCTATCAACACTTTTCATGGAAACTACACCACAGACACACCTCCAATACGGCTCAGTTACCATCATGGTAATCATTACAATTCACTTGTTGATCCTCGTCGGTTATCAGTTGGTGCTGGACTTGGATTTAGCAGTCTGCGGGGGGTAAGTTGGTTCAGATTGTACATTAAGATCTTGTGAACTTATGTTTGGATGGGACTTATATGGTGATTTCGCTGATACCTTGTGACTGAGATTGCTTTTGTTGGATATATGCATTTACAGGCCAATGTCGACAAGGATCAAGTTAAAGCAGCTATTAAGGCTCAGCAGGACCAGCAGATCGATAATGTAAGAACTATAGGGCCTATAAATCTGTTATTGACTATTAGTGACATACATGCATGTGTTAAAACATTTGCATCTCTGTTCCCAGGCACTTCTTGCTGAGGGGCGATTTTACTCGGATCTTGAACTTACAGAAAAGGAGATCGAACACATGGTAATGGAGGCTTCTAGGGCTGACTACCTTGCTAATGACAAGTTTAAACAGCAGATAGGTTACCGAGAGTCTTCCACTTCTGGTGCTGAACCATCGTCTTCTGGAGCCAGTGAGTAGAATCTCTTCATTTCCTTTGGAGGCTTTATGTTGTACTCCTCTCCCATTCCGTGTCGCTCCTTATACAAAAGCAATAAACTTTGGTCCTGAACTGTAGCATGGTTTTGCAATGACCTTTTAACGTTTCACTGGTTCTTTATTTTGAACTTGATTATCGCCTTTAACATGAATGTAGGGTTTTTTTCCCTTTTATTTTTGGCTTTTGCATTGTTATCTGACAGAAAGTATTTGGAATGATAACTAGGGTCATCTGGGCGAGATTCTTCTGATAGTGTGTTGAGTAGTAGCATACAGATTGTGCTATCCATGGGCTTTAGTTATCTGCAGGCCATCGAGGCCTACAGCATATTTGGAGATGATGTGGACTCAATGGTTTGCTATCTTTTAGAGACCAGCAACAGTGGCAGACGCAAAGGCAAGGCTACTGAATGAGGAATAATGAGACTTTTTATTTGTTGCTTATGTATCTTTGTCGTCGGACTTGCAGAACTTTCATTACAATGCCATTCCCCAAACTTTCTTTTAAGTTTTGTGCGTGCCGTACTGAAAGAAATGCTAATGCTCTGTCTCTTATTGTCGAATGTTGTTCCTGACGGGGTTAAAGTTTAGTCAGGGAGTGTTCGAGGTCGGAGTCTTACAAGTCAGTCGGCCTTATTTGGTTTCCTTTTTGGGCAATTTTTCTTGTGAAAGTAAATTTGCGGCCAGTGCAAGGCGCTACTTTTTTTAACATGGGAAATTTGGCTCATTCGCTATTTAGATACTCCCTCCATCCCATAATTATTGTCCAGTTTAGGTTTTCATTTTTAATTCAAATTGTACTAAAAGTAAAATCTCAAAATGGACAATAATTTTGGGACAGAGGGAGTATTATTCAGCTAGCTGAGTTTAACTTCTCATGAAAGGGTTTTTTTTTTTTTTCGTCTCTAAAACTGTAAAATAGGGGGAGGGGAAAAACGAAAGAGCAAACTGGTTGGAAAATGTGCAAAGGTTTTTTGTTGCAGTATTTGCTTTCATGGGAGAATTGAGCACCAGTGCACCACCATATTGTGTAGTTTGTATTGGAAAACAAGCACTCCCGAATTCTGATTATTATCATTTGAAGACGTGTAAATACTGTTGGAGAAAGTCACTCTACTTGGAAATATGTAACGCAGTAGTAAGAACTAAGATTTGGTTTGTTTTTTTTGTTGTTGTTGAAATGGTAACTAAGATTTGGTGAATTGCAACGAGTCTTCTCATCAAACCCGCAAGTAACAATTTTAATATTTGTGATCTTCCAGTGGTATGTGTCACTCATGTAAGGTATAATGCATTAACTATCTCGTTTAATTTACCCTTGTGGTGAGGATGACGGTAATAGTCCACAGTTGACCGGATTAGTAAAGGATGTTTTATATCATATTTATCATGAATATACTTCTTTTTTTTTTTTTTATACTGACTCACATTACCAAATTAGGAGTTTTATCCCTGATATTTGGTAAGGTAACGTACTTAAGCACAACTTAATTCATTAAGAGGTTCATTTATTGTTATCAAATACGTTGAAATGAAAAAAGTGCTTCATTAAATTATTTTAAACAGTAATAGGTAACATTATCAAACATGTACTAATGCGATTATTAAATTTTGTTAATCATCATTATTTTTTTAAAAAAAGAATATAAGGATTAGAGAGTAGAGAACAGAGACTATTATTATACAAAAAAAGAAAAAAAGAAAAAACCAGATTAAAATTTAACAAGCACAGTATACATATACATAGGCATTACGTGTGCAGCGGAACTCTTCTTCTAAAATCTGCTCAAAGAACCCTTTGGATCCACGTGTCATCTTGTCTTCCCCGAAACGAAGAGATGTTTTTTTTCTATAGACTTTGTAGTAGTACCATACTCCTCCACTCCCAACAAAACTATTAGACCCTTCTCTTTTACTCCAAAACCAAAAAATAAAAACAACAAAATTCGCCAAATATTAAACACGCACACACACAGTGGAGAAAGAAAACAGCCAAAGCAAAGGAGGCAAGAAAACCTTTTCACACCAAACACCCAGAGCTGAATAAGCCTTTTCTTTTCACACACATACAATACATACGCACAAATCTCTGTTTCTTAAATCATCGTCATCACCTTCATCATCATCATCATCATCGCGATTATACAGATATTTATCCGTATAGGGGGGAAGAGTGTGTGTGTGTGTGTTTGTGGCGGTGGGTGGGCAGAGAGGAAAGAATTGGGAGGAAATTATTGGAAGGAAGGAAGAAAAAATGTCTCAGAACGGGAAATTGATGCCCAACTTAGACCAGAACAGCACAAAGCTGCTTAATTTAACGGTGCTTCAACGAATCGATCCCTTCGTCGAAGAGATTCTCATCACCGCTGCTCATGTCACTTTCTATGAATTCAACATCGACAACAGCCAATGGGTATTCGTGATTTTGTGGCTCGTTTGATTCGTGTTCAATGAAATTGATTGCAGTTTTAGTTCTTTTTTTTCGCCCCTTAAAATTTGGAAATTTGAGTGCTTTGTTTGATTTGCAGAGTCGGAAGGATGTGGAAGGATCTCTCTTTGTAGTCAAGAGGTGCGCTTTTGCAGTCTCTTAGTTTCTGGGAAAATTGTTTGTTTTTTTTTAGAACTTGAAATTCTAGGGTTTAGGTGTGATTCATCTTTGTTCAATTAATTTTGGGGTCAGTTTTGTCTTTGTCGTTCAAATTAGGTATCATCTTGCAGCAGAATTCTGACCCTTTTCTTCCCTTTCCCTTGACTCTGTTTCAGAAATACTCAACCTCGGTTTCAGTTTATTGTAATGAACCGGAGAAATACAGGTCCGCTACTCCATTTTTACTCTTCACTAATTGTTATGTAAAGCATTTTCTTTTTCTTTTTTTTTCTTTTTTTTTTTTGGGGGACGTTGTTCAGAATAGTTCAAGAGAATGCGGATTTATTTGACTTTCACAGCTCTGATTCTAGATGTTTAGAGAATCCTAGTTTGAAATCTTCATGGGTCATTTAAAGTTAAAGTTAGTATCTCTTCTGGAGTTAGTTCAGGGAATTCCTGATCTAAATTTGTATTATAAGACATGTGAGTGTTTTTTTGTAGATAAATGAGGTATCTGATTTTGTGAGGACGATCTGAAGTTTTAGTTGTAGTTGCCTACGCCAATGATTGAAATACTTGAGTTATGTGTAAATTGCCTCAGTCTGCTGGTGATTGTGTGGCCTGAGCTATAATCAATGTGATTTGAGGATGTAGTTAGTCTGAATTAAGCAGCAAAGGAATAGTTGACAAACATGCTTGTTTCATTTGGACAAAATCCAGTTTATTTTGAATGTTATTCAAGAAAGTCTCTGCTAAAAGAATTGCATTCTGGTATTGATTGTTTGATTCTTGTGTACATAAAACAAGTTTCCTCATTTTTCCTTTCCATTGCTTAGTTCAGCAAAAGTCTTGCTCACTGATTAATGTCGTCAAAATAGTGGTTTGCTCCTCTGGTTATTTCAGTTTATAAACCTTTGCTTCTGAACTTCTGTCCGTTGCCTACTTTTAAGCATATTTCTTGACAAGATTGTGATCATACAGTGAGTTCTTGCTTGATATTTTATTCCCAGTGACAATTCCTACTTTTAAGTATTCCATTTACTTATCAAAATTTTTACGCATAACATTTCTCTGGGATGGTAGTTTCAGTCATAATATAGGATTATGAGGTAGCTCTGATGCTTTTCCGCCTGCAAGCTCTTGTTGACCTGCATAGAGGCTGGTAGCTTTTCGGTTTTATGTTGTACTTTTCCATGTGAACAACGTACACCATTTTTGTCATATATTGTATAGATAACTTTGAGATTTTGTTCTTTGTTGCCTTACCTGGGGAACAGTAATAACTGATCAGTGCCATTTATTTTTTATGTGCAGATAATCTGGTAGAAAATCTCTTGGAAGACTTTGAGTTTGAGATACAGGTTCCATATTTATTGTATCGTAATGCGGCTCAGGAAGTTAATGGAATATGGTTCTATAATGCACATGAATGTGAAGAGGTCGCCAATCTTTTTACCAGGTAATAGCTAGTTTATGTGGCTTTCTGCCGTTGTTGGATAAGTTATTTTATTTTTCTTTTGATATTCACATACTTGCTAAGCTCAGTATTTGACTTAGCTAGTTTTCTGTTGTTTTGTCCCCTTTGTTGGTTAATTTTTTTAATCCTTTCTTTCCATATATTACACCTGTTGAGCTCAGGATTCAACTTAGCTTTCTTCTGTCTCATTTTAGAATATATTCTGGCAGTTTTTGCTCTAAATGACACGTTAATGATATGAGATGTGCCTGTCAAACAACCTTTTAGAGTGGGAGGAAAGTAGATAGGTCCATTAGAAATCTTGTTCCTACTATCCGGTGCCCTATTTTTCATAGATATTAGGCCTTGCTCATGTATGGTTGGTAGGTCATATCGTTTAGACATCTTAAATCTGGCCTTTGTTCATAAACTTAGTTGTTGGAAATAGATTTATTTGTAGTTTCTCGCATATAGTTGTGTTGATATGTTCTTTCTGTAGAATTTTTCCCCTGATTTAGTTTCTTGCATTTTGAAATAAATATAGTGTATTGGTACAAATGGTACGAGAGCAACCAACATGATGTGACTGTATTAGCTGCATTTGTGTTTGCATCATTTCTTGAATTTATATTTTTGTGCACCTTATATTCATTGTGCATCTGTAGCAGTTAGTTTAATTTCATTTTATGGAGGAAATTCCTTTTAGTTTGTTTTCTCAATTTAATTTTCCTTTCTCTCCCTTTTTGGTTGGTCAATCAGAATACTGAATGCATATTCCAAGGTACCGACCAAGACCAAAGTATCTTCTACAAAGAGGTAAGTACTTTTAATGCTCATTGGAATCTGTTCAGTATATAATCTCAATTGTGCATCGGTTTTGAATGGGTGATAATGTTTCTCATTCTTAGTCCTTTCATCAGTTATTTTATTAGTTGGATGACATTTGTTTGGAATCTGCCATACCTGTAGACACGTGTTTGGATGATAGTTCTTGAAATTCAGTCATTTTCACGAAATAGTTTTTTGATGATTAATAAACTTTGTATCTGGATGCTGCTGATTGAGTAGGAAGTGTAAAATCATCCTATCTGTTTGTTGAATTGGGAGGTTGAGAACATTTGTTTCTTCATACTCTCCAGTTCATACACAGTCCTTTCGTTTTTGGTGCTTAAGGATTGAAGTTTAGTTTTATTTATTGGTCCCGTAGTTAATTATTCTACTGTATTTCAATACACTCCTTTGGGCTCTCTCCAATTGTTAATTATTCTACTGTGGTTAATTACGAGAACATTTGTTTCTCGTAGTTAATTATTCTCCAGTTCTCGTAGTTAATACTCTCCAGTTCTCGTAGTTAATTACGAGAACATTGTTAACTACGAGAACATTTGTTTCTCGTAGTTAATTATTGGTCCCGTAGTTAATTACTTACTCTCCAGTAGTTAATACTCTCCAGTTCTCGTAGTTAATTACAAGAACATTGTTAACTACGAGAACATTTGTTTCTCGTAGTTAATTATTGGTCCCGTAGTTAATTATGTAGTTAATTATTGTTTCATGTAGTTAATTATTGGTCCCATAGTTAGTACTCTCCGGTTCTCGTAGTTAATTACGAGAACATTGTTAACTACGAGAACATTTGTTTCTCGTAGTCAATACACTCCTTTGGGCTCTCTCTTAAGTTATCAGTCCAATTGTTTAGGGGACTGTTGCTTTGTGACCTCGGGTTAATTCATGGTATTAGCCTGTGCCCACTGCCCACACACATGTTAACACCATGGTGCCCTTTACCGCTGGAATCAGTGGTTTTCTCCTCTTTTGTTTGATTGTGCAAATTTTGATCGACCCTGTGTTTATCTTCTCCATCTAGAAAGTGGAAGTTTGGCCACTTGGGACTTGGGGAGAAGAAAGAAAATGTTGATTTGAGATTTAGTTAAACCAGTTGATTGGATAAGTTGTTTATGGAAATAGTTGCACAGAAGTTCTTGTGGTTCAACCAAACTAACATGCTAAACATATGCTGGATCAGTTTGAAAACTTAATAAGGGGGCTGTGTGTTTGGATATGGGGTTGCACCTTAGCTCATACTCTCATAGTAACTTTGTGTAATAATGGTCTATGCAGATGATTTCTAGAATTTATTTTTTACTCGAATATAGTTTTCCTTTTTTGTTGTAGATTTAGTATGTTGCATTTTTAAAGCAGCTATGAAATTGTTTACTTAATGAACGGTAGATAATTTAAAAAGGGAAAGTTATGACGAGTCTAGCCTGCTTGTGGAAAATCCATGCTAGCAAAAAGCAGGAATAGTGTAAAAGCAAATACGCCTTAAATTTTATTTTTAGTTTATAACCACAGTTCCCAGGGGAAAGCATGGGGCATAAAAGCTTTCACATGAGCAGTTTCTACAACTGAAACCTGTGGCCCAGATCAGATGGGAACAGCTCTTAATGCTGCATGAAAGTCCTTGCCATGGCTAAATTTCCTACGTGATTGTAGATCTTACTACATCAGTTTTTATATGGCTTGACAAAGTAGACGGCATTCTAGTTGGTGCCCCTTCGTATAAAAAATGTTGTTCTTGATTCATCTGTTAGCTGATGAAATTATTCATTATGTTGGCGGTTGGTAAAAGTAACTTGGTTGCTGTTTATGGATTTGAAAATAGCTCTCTGCGAAAAGGGTAAAAACTACATTTAGGATGCTTGTGGAGAAATGCATTGTTGAAAATCTCTTTGGATGCACCGTAAGCTTTTTCATTATAGTTCTTGCTATATTATCTCACAAGTTGTCGATGTAAGCTCAAACAGAAGATTATTGTGAGAAGGGAATTGGCATGACGAGAATGCATCAATGAGCCCGTAGAAATAGTGTATTCGTTGAATGCTCATACGTTTATTCAAAATAATATCATGAAACACATTGATGGACCCTCTTGCTCTAACACCACAGTTAAAAATGATCAACTTGGGGAAAAGTTTGAAGAGAGAGACATTGCAGTTTTGGGGGGTAAATACGAACAATTTGTTTAAGGAAGATTATGCAGTATATATGGCTCATCTCAACTTTTGATAGTGGTGAAGAGATGAGTGATTTTATCTTATCAGAAGCTAGAATTTTGGAGGCAGCAGGAATGAAACATAATGAGAAAGAAGATTAAGTTATAGTGTACATAGTTGTTTCTACAGGCATTATAAGTTCCATTTAAACCCTTATTTCCGATCTGGTTGTATTATTGTTCATTGAATAAAGAATATTAGCTTTTGTAGTATAGTGCTTTCTTGTATTACAAATTTCTCCCACCGGCCTGAGTGGACTGTGTTTTTGGGACAAAGGGAGTGACAAAGTATTCTTTTTCAGATTTCTTTGTTTACTTATCTAAGTCTTCTGAGTTGTAGATTCTGTTGAAATAGATCTACTTTTGAAATGGGTGGTTATTGCTTTTTTATCTGGCTTTCATTGGAATTATTTTCTGGTTTGAGGTCAATGTGCCTTTTTGTTTCCTTTTTGTTGTGTGATCCTGTATTCAGAGTTCTGTTGCTAACAAATGCAGTGAATTTGAGGAACTGGAAGCTGTCCCAACTATGGCTGTTATGGATGGTCCGCTGGAACCTCCATCATCAACTTCTTCTACTGTCCCAGATGTTCCTGATGATCCTTCCTTTGTGAACTTTTTCAGTGTATGTATCTTATAATTCTTCAACTCCTGTTTTGGCTTTAATTGTATCTGCCTGACCTTACTGTAATCCAGTCTCGAAGCTATCAATATAAAGCATTCTTCCATATCTTCAATGTAAATGGTATCCAGACGTTTCATATTCTGTTTTGTTAGTTTGTCCTTGCTGATTTTATCATACTCTGAGAATGCTGCATATCTTCGGGTTGATTGAACAGGCTCCTTTCTTTCCCCTTTTGTGGGTTTTAATGATTCAATTTTTCCGAATCTTCTTTTAGCTTTTCACCACATCATTCTGAGCTTGCAGTGTTGAGTTTCAACCTTTTTTGCTGGTCAACTATCATTTCAATAGATAAATGATGAGTCCGATTTTTGGAAGAAAAAATTTTCCATTGAACAGGCTGTATGAGAACTATGATTTTTCTGCCTGATGAGTGCTACTTGGTTCTTGTATTTCTTGCTCCTCTTTTATATTTATTGCTTCTTTAGCAATTTCACTTCAACTCTCTGCTGTAGCCATGTCGCAATGTCTATAACCATTTTTTTGGCTTTAATTTCAGACTGCTATGAATATTGGCGCTGCGCCGAATGCAACTGTTGGTGGTCAGCCTTATCATATGTCTGTTCCAGTTCCTCCAACTTCTCGCCCTCAAGGGCCAGTAATGCCTGCTATTGCCAACATGCGAGTTCCGTCTCCTCCTCTGTCAACCACCACCCCCTTGATGCCTCTGCTTGACAACCCTGAACCCGCGATGGATGCTCACAGATCAGCTAACTTGGTGAAGCCATCAACCTTTTTTGGGCCCCCTCCTTCCTCTCCTCTGATGGTACCACCCGTGGTTTCATCTACACCTACTGCTCCTCCACTTAATCCTCCTGGCAGTCTCCAGCGGCCTTATGGTACTCCTTTACTGCAACCATTTCCACCACCGACGCCCCCGCCATCTCTTACACCGACAGCTGCTACTTCATCTAACGTCATGCCTGCTATTACGAGAGAGAATATCCGCGAGGCACTTCTGGTGCTTGTTCAGGTAGTTATCACCATGCACCTTATGTATTTTTTAACTTTTTTTTCTCTGTGAAGTTAATTAAATCTGATTAGTACTAGGGTTTTCCTTTGAACTTCTTAAAGCTTCTTAATAGTTAGCTGAAAGTAAATGATCATCATAGCTATTACGAATGATTTGACCTACTAATTTCTAGCTAAAAATGATTATTCTTTACTAATTTTTTCACATCATGTATAGATGTGCTAAGAAATGACTAAGAAGTAAAACCTCCAGTTCTTATTTTTAGAGCTAGATTTGTAATCTTTTAAACCCCTATGCATCTTTTACTCGGTTTTCCGAAGAAATAAAATATGTTTTTTCTTCAATTTTAACATCAAGTTCTCGACTTCTACGATTGAATGGTGCGAAGTATGACTTGTGCTGTTCTCTTGTAGCAGAGGAAAAGCTGTAGTTGCATCTTAACTAGTGAGATCATCTATCCTGTATTTTGTCGTGTCTCTGATCCGTTCATCTTTGGATGCCAGGACAATCAATTTATTGACATGGTTTACAGGGCGGTGCTGAATGCGCATACATCGTGACCGACCAACTGCTGTTATTTCTTGGAGTTGATGCTTATTGTGCATTATTTAGGTTAAATGTATGAATCTTATTTGGTACTGAGAAACACTGTATAGATGTTAATTTTGTTTATTCTTACATCTGACTACTGATTTCATCGGGAGTGGTTTTGTCAAGTTTTGATGGTTTAATAGCTTCTTCCTAGTCTATATACATATGACTGTGTATGTCTTTCTAATTATTTAGTCACTTGGTACCGGAGTCTCGAGCATATTTGACTTGAAAGTTAGGAGAGGGGTTGGTGGTGGCAACTCTAGAGAATTTGCTTTTGTACCAACCAGAATGTAATCAAGTTCAATCTGGAATGTGCAATGAAAAATAGAAAACAGATTCTTGATACAAACTCTCTGCTATTAACATCCTACAAATTGATCTGCATTCTGCACTGAGGGGTCGAAACACGCGGGTAATCATAACATGGGGTGGAATGAAATTAAAAAAAGAACCAGAGTATATATTATATTCTTTAATAACATTAAAATACGATGTAACACCAGGGCATATTTTGTTATTTTCCTGTTTTGCTTTGATACGAAGAACAGAATGTTACGAACAACCTCTAAGACAACATCTTGCATACAAGATTGCATTACTCTCTGAACAAAATTTTTCTATGACTACATAATGTCCAAAAAGAGGATCACCCTTGAGGGTGAAAGGTTCTACTGGAAGACTACTATATCAGTTGGCTACAAAACATAAGGCCTCAGGGAGCATCACAAAGCTCTACAGTTAGCATTCTGCTATGGCATCTAGGCAGATTTCACTTTGCGAGAGGGGGGCCGACGAAATATACTAATGAGATCATCAAGACCCTGCAAGATATTACGATTGCTTACATTAAATTATGTTCAAAAGCAATATAAATCTCCATAATGAGGACAAGCGAGAAGTTAGGACAGCATAATGTAGTCTGAAATTGTACCCTGGTGATGATAACTAGGAAACTGAAAAGGATGATCATGTAAGATCCCAACACAAGCAGCAAAAGCAAGTCGAATGTCACGCTGGCAACCTGCAGATTATCAAGGAGAGATTACATGTCACCAGAAAAGATTCCTAGAGTTCGTTGGATCCCCTCAGCAAAACCAGTTTCTTCCAGTTTTTAAATATATATGAAATATATGAGAGTATCTCAGGGGGAATCGCAAGTTATTTCCTCACCTGATATATGTGCAATTTACTCCTTGTGGAATCATAGAAAGTGAACATTCCGTCAAGCACCTCATGTTGCACATTAACCCCTACAGTATACTCTGACAGTTCCTGGCAACGCATAAAAACAAGTCAGAAATGAGGACAAAAATTGCATCCAGGGATGAACAAATCCCAGAAAATGACTAAGAATTAGAATCAGGTTGAACAGAGAACCAAAATTGCAGATAAATAGGTATAAATTGAAAGCTTAAAGACACAAAAGCCACCACTTGCTGTTGTAAGCTTCTAAATCGCGCGTTTTAATCACACAAAACATCTTTTCCGTGGACATGGGGAATTTGTTGTCCTCCCCCTCAAGAAAATAAATCTGCTCCAGAATTCAAAATTTATTTTTAGCCAGTACCTTGAAGTAGGTGAGTGAAAAGCAGTTAGTTTTTTCTTTTTAGGTTCTTTGTGACATACAATTCACGATCAATTGGAAGCCCTTGAGAGCCCCAAAACATGTTTAAAAAATTCCTTTACCTTGAAAAACCTCTCTACAAACTGACAGCAGATTAATTTAGGAGTAACTTGATTTCATATTCTCATCAAACCACAAGGCCACATGGATTGTGCTCAAAAACCATATTGAGGTAAATCATACTCTGCATAGCAAAACACTGATAGGATTTGACCAATCCAATCCTCTTGACGTCGTCTAAGTTGCCAATAACATTAAGGACATCTGAATAATCACAGGATGACAATTAAACTCACGGAAATGGGTTTCATTAATCATTACTGTTGACTTCCTATACAAAGACGCAAAAGACTTTTCAGTTTAGAGGGTCACATGGTAACATGTTCTGCATAGCCCTAATGGGCAGTTAAATGATCTTTAATGAAAAGGTTTTCCCAGTTGAACCAAAGATCAACTACCATAAACCGCTTCACCGCTACTAAACCAGCCCCAGTGGTAATCCCGCCAGCATTGTTATTTAAATGATCATAACCACCCAGCAGACAACCCAAACAGCCATCACTACCAACATAATCCCCAACTTAACGACAACAGAATGCCCTATACTCAAGAAATCATTGGATAGACAACAGAATGCCAAAGAAACTGAAGAATCAGGGTCTATTTATTTGTTTGAAGTTGCTTTTTCTGTTATCATGGTCACCAGCAGCAATTTAATTTTTCTTCTCAGAGCAGGGGTTTACAGAACGCAGGAAGACAAAAAAGGGGACAACTATGGTGGAGAGAGGAAATTAGGGAAAAGAGGACGAAGGTGCCGGTTGGGAAGAAACGGAAGATTGATTAATGACATCAATGAAGATGAAGCTACAGAATTTTCTTTAGTCGTGGCTGGGAAGGAGAAAAGAGAAGTTAATTAAGGGCGATAAATTGCTTTTATGAAAATGAATGTTTTACAAAAAGAGCACCCTAAATGAATTACCAATTCTGTAAGAAGCCTGAAATCATTTTATAAGGGTGTCTTCTAAAGAAGTTTATGAGCACAACTCGAAATCAATTTGATTGCAGTTAACCAAAATTATTTAGATTTGGCAAAGTTCAAATAATTAGATGGCCAGTAAGACCTACACCCACATTAAGAAAGTATTCTATATCTTCATTATGATAGATAGCGGGCTGTGAAACTAGAGGCACCACAAGCATTAAGAGGTATTAATGAGGGAACTCCTACGAACGCTCATAATTACATCAACAACAAACCTTTGTTCCACTATGTGGGGTCTATGTTGCCAAACGTGTTCATATAAATTTAAATATTTCATGTATAACAAAATAAATAATGAGTGACAAATATCAAGCTAAAATGCACGTCTTATACACTCAATCTCTAGGTCTTTTTGGTTTGGATCCAAAAAGCACAAAGACAGGTCAGACACCTTTTTGGCAAAATAAAACAAAATTTCACACGGAATGTGGCATAGATATAAAGCACATATCAACAAATGACAATACAAAAAGCACATCCATCGGATAAATATTAGTTCATTCCACCAACCTGTTTCAGAGCTGTGATGAGTGGGTCATTTCTCGACAAGAATGGTGCGACACGTGGTGTTGTAGACAGAAGATTCAACCACGAACGTATATGAGAAGGATTGACAGCTAAGCTACTGTTATCAGCAAAAACATCAATAGTTCTCCCACTCTGGCCGTATATATGTCTCTGCATGAAGGAATCTTCATTAGAGTTTGAAAAGGTCACCAAAAAATACACTATGATTTCACTTTTCGAAAAAAGCCGAAGATCATAAGAGTCGTATAAAAGCATCAAGTGTACCAAATGATTTTACTTGATTAAAGAAATAGAGATATATTAATCATGCCATCGCATCAAACAAAAACTCAATAAGATGCATGAAATAAATTCTCTTTTCTAAAAAAAGACATCAAACAAAAAAATCCTCATCCTCGGATGCCCTGAAGGCAAATTTGCAGATTACAGACTTCATATAAACCTGCTTTTGTCAGATTAAAGACCATTTCAAACCTTTTTTTTTTTTTTTCCCAAAAAAGAGCTTTTTAGTCCTCCAGTTGTGCTGAGAAAACAACGTTTCACATGCATCATCCCTAAATTTTATGTCAGCAACTACAACTTTCGAGAATTTCATGTTTGGGTAAGATTTCTATTAAAGTAAAAAGCGGTCGGAAGACTGACATTCTTCCGACAATGATTTACCCCAACATGAAAATTAACTTTTCAGTTAAAAAAAACTAATCCTAGATGCATTGAAACTCTAATAATTGCATATCCGCGGATACGTACACCAGATGATAATATCTAAATTTTTGTTGGGCCAAGACAGGTAACAAAAATGGCTTGTCCAGCACCTACTAATGGAAAGAACTCAAATTACCAAGCAAAATTACATTTTCATCATTTCTTCATTTAAGGAAATACAAATCATTTCTGGCACCCCCAGTCATGAAACACCTAAGCAGATAATAATGATGCTCTGAAATTTGGAATATTTTCAAATATTATTTAGTCGTTCTATGGTACGGCAAGACTCAGTCAATATCTTAGATGAGAAAATGGGAATCATCATGGCACCACCTTTCTTGCAATCTAAATCCACAGACTAAACCCGGAGCAAGATGGACTTTTGTGAAGGTCTCTAAGGAAAAAGCCATAAATTCCTTAAACAAAAGAACAGGTATCGAAAAATCTCCTGAAACAGAAATCTTCAATTGAATATGTTCCCATTGAGAGGTAGTAACAAATCACAGATCTAAGATGTATCCTAGTTCCGAATCTGAATCTGTCCACTTTAATATTAAACAGAGGAAAAACCCCAAAGAAGAAAAAAACTAAATTAGGATTACAACCTAATTCTCTAATTCTATAGTTTGAGGATTAGTTTCACAATTCCCAAATTTCGCCCTTGGCTACCAAATCATCCAATCATGAGAACTAATGAATTCCTTTTCCAGGAGATTATACCATTTACATATATTTCACATGAAAAGGAGATACAATTAATTTCTCAAGAGAAGGGGAGGCTGTGGATATACAGAGCAGGGCACTCATCAGATCATGTCATACTCTAATCGTGGAGGCGGAATAACTATCTACACATTGGTGCTGCTATTAGATAGAAGGTACTCTTTCCATATGTTTAATCAGATAGGTAACAACAATTTCTGAAGATATAATCACTGCTCTTGACTTCTTACCGCCAGGCTTTCAGCCACTAACTTAACACTTCGAACTAGTGCATTTTCATTCACAGTGTGTCTGAAAAGAAGAAAGAATTTCTTGAATCAGTCAACAAAAGATGAGTTTGAAAGAATAAAAACAATTCTTACAGAGTTTATCAATCCAACTTACCTGTTATCTGGGAGACCGCCAGTGCTTTCAAGCCAATCTGGTGCAACAGAGAGTTTAGAAAGCGTTGCTGCAGTAACTCGAAGCCTTGAAAACTGTTCATGCTCCCAGGCTACCTACACATGCCCTTACATACATTAGAAGAAAAATGGAGTACAAGGACACAGTAAATTTTTGAACTGTTCATGCTATCCAAATTCCATAGGCACAATGGCCAATGGATACCCATTTGTCACTTGTCACCTCATTCTACGTATTTCAACTTACTCTAGAATTTGAGATGTTAATCTTCTTGTGCTTAAGACCAACAGTAAGACCCAATTCTTCAGCAACACTAGAAATAACCTGCAAAAATCATCCTATTAAACTAGAAAAAACTACTGCGTGATAATAAGATCCAAGCGGACCAATTCACTAAATTCAACGCTTTAGGGATATACCTCAAAAATTTGCTTTACATATGCATTTTCTGGAGGTTTGGACACATGAACCCACAACTCGTCGCTAGATGAGCCAATACTATTCAAGCAAATAGCGTAGTCAATACTCTCCCGTATACGCTGATCAAAGCTGCGAATCCACTGGAGAATGGCAATTCAACATCAAAACAATTACACAGTTGCTGGTAAGGATTGGCAAAAGAAGGGGGCGCAGGGGGAGAGTGTGTGTGTGTGTGGGGGGTGATGGTGGGAGGGAGGTAGGGAAGACCTTATAGGTTCCGTTGTAATTGTAAGGCCCACCGGATGTGAGCCCAAACAGTAAATTGTAACTGCCTCTTGTTTTAGGGTTCGAATATAAAATGGAGAACAAACGAGCTAACTCAAAAAGTGCCACGACACCACTTCCATTGCTGTCACTTCCCATAGAGAGTGCCTATTAAAAAAAAAACAAACAAACAAAACAACAATTTGAGCACAAGTTAAGAGGGACAAACAGGAAACTTTTCAAAGGCAACAAGAGCATGTATTTACTGGTGCAGCTCCGAAGGTATCATATGACGCTACTATGGCAATAGTAGGAAGTTGACTTGAATCACCATCAGCTTTCAATCCAGGCAACCATCCCTGTGATTGGGAAAAAAAAACATCAACCAAAATCAGAAAAGTAATGGAAGATAAACTGTGGCTCAGATGAAAGGATATGTACATAAATTAACAAAGTAGGAGCTAAACTCAGTTCTATGGTATCCACTGAAAAAAAATAAAATTAAAATAAATTAAAAACAATTCCTTGTCTACAGCTGAAAGGATGCATGCAAGCAATGCTGTAGAAATCTAGAACAATTGCTTCCAAGCACAAACGCTGCAAACACTCATTAGTAGATAAGAATCTGACACGAGGATGGTAATGGCAACGGTAGGTAGCCAGCACAAAAGCAATAAGCATTCAAATAATGCATCGAATATTGAAGATTAATTTGAAGGCCTAACAAACTACAAAGAAGATCTGGAAAATTAAATTAAAAGAAAACGAATCCGCACTGGCTTTTATGTTGCAAAGATAAATTCTCAGATTGTAGATGTTCTTAACTGGTAAAAAGCAAGTTGAAACAACTATTTACTTCAGGAGTTTATCAAAGATGAATTATACACCTGAATATTCGCAATAGTGGGTGTTCCTATCTTCCTGGGTTCCGAAGTGGGAACAACAAGCTTGTATCTGTTACAATGCAGTAGTCAAATAGGGTATTTGGTAGTAGAAACAAATCAATTGTTACAAATGCCAAGGGACTAAAATTTTCACTGGGAAGAGGTGTGCAAGACATGGCTAATTATGAGTTCAAGAACAATTTAATATCATCTTGATGCAAAAGAAGAGCCATATACATAGCGGATAGTATGGACATCCACAAAGAGCGAAACCAAACATCATCCTCATTGATATGTAGGCAAAAGCTAAGATAAAAAGAGAAATAGTTTTGAAACCTTGCACAGGTGGGTAATAATTCTGCAGACTTAGCAGCGTAATTTGCACACTTATAATTCTAACAATGAAAGAGCAATTAAACTTAGAATCATAATACGAAATGCACCTTTCACCATTTTCTTTTTTATGTACAAAGATCACAGTTTCTAGTGTGCTAAGATTTTTACAACAATAGACACACTTACAGAATTTTTTTTTCACATTGTTTCCGGGAAAAAAAAGAAAGATTAAAACCAACATGGATACAACAAAACTACATTCTACGCCAAAAAATGAGTTTTCTTGGAAGTAAGACAATTTGAAGCACACAAGTCGGTATAGATACTCTGGTAATCAAATCCTCCCTAAAAAACATTCTAACGATTCTTCAAATAAAATTGCTACCAGGATATGAAGTAAAAGACAGAGAAACCCACTGCCTTTGGGTACAAGTACACCATGCAGTCTAATCTCAGTTACCTAAAACAAAATGCTTCACCTGTAATCAGATTAAAGGCATCAAACCCAAAAAAGATATGGTGGGTGTATAAAACTAACCCTCCAGTTGTAGCAGTAGCAGGTTGACCACTGGCATCATTCCTTTTGATATCCGCCAGCACAGAGTTCACATCATCACTCTCAAAAGCAAAATAAACAGGATACTGCATAGCATAACAAAAGTTCAACACCTTTTGGAAAAAAACCATATGAAAAAATTTAGATTAACAATCGAAGTTCATGGGAGAATTGAATGGCATGAGCAAACAACCACAAGCATATGCATTGAGTGAACATAATATTGTTCAAGCGAGGGAAACAATCCATACATCTACATGAAATTCCATAGCATATCATATGTTCTGCAATGCTTCAAAGAGGTGAGACTTAGAAGAAAAAAGAGAACAAGGAAAAAGTGATCCAAACATTTACTCATGGAAAAGATAAACAAAGAGATCAATAATTTAGCCATAGGTCCATAACATCAAAAAGTTACAGTTGCAAACTCTTCCACTGGTTTTAAAAAATAATTGATTTTAAGTCTTTGAGTTATTAAGAGCAAACTATCCTTATTCATGGGAAAGATAAACAAAGAAATCAATACTTTAGCCATAGGTGCATAACATCAAAAAGTTTCAATGGCAAAGTCTTCAATTAGTTTTCAAAAAATTGATTTTAAGTCTTTAGTTCTTTTTTTTTCCCATTAATTTTCTCCTGGAAAGAAAATTTGAAACTCCCCAAAGGCAGCAACTCTTACATTTTAAAAAGCTCAAATACAGCAGCACAAAAGAAAGGATACTTCTTCAGAGTGGAGGTAATAGAATTTCAAAACAAAGAGCAACAAGAGTTAGCATTAGCTGACATCATACCACACAGAGAAAGTGGTGGCACAACAACAAACTTAAGAATCATCCCAATATGTAGAACAAGCTATATGGATCACATTTTGCCATCATGTTCTGTCAACACGAGAAAGGAGACCAAGTAGCAGTATCCAAACGATAGTAGAAACTACTATCTAAAGCCCATTTTCAATAGGTTGAAGGAAACTGGAATAGAAGAATAGTAAAACGCAATAAGAAATAGAACCAGAGCTTAAAGCACAATGTCATGCACATGAATAAAGTAAAAGAACAACACCTACGAAATAAAAAACTTATCTTCTCACTTACCGGGATACTGGCATGTATTAGCAATCGTTCAACTTCAACCAACACATCCTTTGACACATCTTGTGCAAGATTATAATCAGCTTCACTCGTAGTGTCAATGTTTTCGGGATTAAACACCGAAGGAAGTAAGAAAAGCAAACCACCCAAGATCGTTTTTTGTTCAATATATTCTGCATTCGGAACCAAAATACCATGTCAATAGGACCTAAATTACTATTTTAAGAGCTCAAACCACAAGGATTCCCACTCTATATGTTGAGTTGTCATGGTTCTAATCCAACAATTCTTCATCAACCCTCTAGATCGCATCAAATTCGATCATGCTTTTATGATACCCAAAAAAGTGATGGTGAAATGAAAACAGTAAATTGTGTTCCCTGATCTAAAATGTATTGTCAGAAAAATATTTAAACCATGCATTCTATCATAGAGCAGTCTTATTCAAAGCAGATGCCAAGTAGTGAGCAATGGAGAGAAGGATACAGTAATTTCCAATGATTTAAGCCGGATGCGCACTCCAGTCACTTGATAGCAATGAAAGATATAGATAGACATGCAATTTATAATTGTTATCTAATGACATATAAATGTAGCACTGGAATAAAGCATTGAAGCGGTAGATCTCAATAACATGATAATAAGAAGTTTGCCTGAATCAAACACACAAGTTTGGATCTGTCCAGAGAGATTACATGGAGTGCACAAAGACAAAAGAGCTGACAACTGAGTTTCTAATTATTTTCACATGCTTTCACAGATTTCTTAAGTGCGAAACCCCACATCAGATAAACTAAAGTAACTAAGCATTCTTCGGAGCCAATTGAGATGGCAGGTAAAATAAAACAAAATTTAACGGGGAGGAAGATTCCAGAAGTTATGCAATGAATGATGAAAGGAATGCTCCAATAAATTACACCCCAGAATCGAAGCTAGCACCCCCCTTTCTCAACCTTCTCCTGTCCCCTTTGATTTATGCATTCATGTTCCTAAGTATGATTGTATGGCGCCATCACTCATGTGGCTTAACATATCAATTACAGAATAACTAAACGAAAATGACTTGAATTTTTTTATATCAATGAAGTCTGCATCCTTTTTCTCAGTCTCTGTTATATCTTCCAATTAGATTCAAGTCAGACAGCGACAAAAGCAGTACCGAAGCAATTGATTATCTACACTAAAGCTAACTAAGAATTTGCTATAACCAACAGCAGTTCCACATTATATAATACTTCAATCTTTTCATGAAACATCAAATTACAACTTTTTGTGGAAGTCAGAGTTCAGTCTTTTCCTGTAACATCAAATTAGGCCTCTTGTAGAAGTGAGAAAGCAGCAAGGTTCTGTTTCTTACAATGTCTCCAAAACGAACAAGTGCAAGGAACACAGAAACTCGAAGTCTCTATGACAAATTCAACTTCAAAGTTCAACCCAGAATAGAACATAACCAATCATTTTAGTTATATCAGCTTGAAAAATGAACTAAAAACTAATACATATGCGGGAAAGAATAGCTACACGCTTACCTCTAATGAGAGTGAGGTTCAATTCACGCAACGGAAGAATCAGAACGGCCCGAGAGAGATCAGCAGCAACTGAATTACCACTAACTGAGCTTCCAGGAGAGAAGAGGGAAGAAGCGGCGTGATGATTGAGGGAGGCGATTCGAGATCCAAACGGAACTCCGTTGAGATCGTACTGAACAAGGCGGTAGACGTCAACGACGGCAACACCGTCGCAGAGCTCCGCACAAGCCGTCAGAAGTATGAGGACGACAACCACCATCGGCGTCGTGTACATTGTTGGCTCGAAAACTCCGACGGACTTTCTCTCGCTGCTGCCCATGATTACACACAGTCACACAGTAAGAGAAAGGAACTGAGGAAGAATAAGGAGGGTTTTTGAATGATGCAAAAAAAGTGGACAGTAATTGATCTAGAAAAATATTTAAAAAATTGATTACCCCTGGATTTTTCAATTTTTCAATTGGGCGACTTGGATTTTTACTGTGGAAGGTGTTATATGGCTCATCAATATTTTTTTTTTTTAAAAAAAAAAAAACAAAACAAAAAGATAAACAGCATATCATCTCATTTCGGAGCCAAAGACATGAAATGATATCAAATATTCTTGGCAATTATTTTTGGAAGAATTTCAATTCAAGGAAAAATATAAAAATGTTCTCTCCTTTTCTTTTTTCTCTTTTGGTACAAAACAAATGTATAGATATTGATATCATAGAAAAGAAATTAGAAATGTGAGAATTGCTCTCAAAGGGAACTATCATTTCTAATCACGAAAGAGAAAAAAAAAAGTTACTCTATGTGTCAAAAAATAACTTATCTTTGTAAATTCACATTCATATTTATCATGACTAATCAGCTTTCACATTACCATAAAATATTGGATAATGATTGGTACAAGAAAAAAATAAAAACGAATTAACATAACTATTTATTTTTTATACTTTTCCATTTAGGGTTTAAGCATTAAAGATTAGGGAATAATTTTGATGATTGACACATCATTTCTTGTAAATTTTTCTTAGAATTTTTCTCTGTACGTCTGAGTACTCATATATGTATCTACTTGATATAAATCTACCAAAAATTATCACAATCATAACTTGAAATGACTTTATATTTGCGCTAATGCACATGAATTCAATTTATGTAAGATTCGATCCATATTTTTCACGTTTAGCCAGAAAAGAGATGTTCATTAGTCCTTCCATTTTAATTTGTAAGTCGTTTTAGGTTTGGAGAGATTTTTCAAAATGTAGGTCATTTTACAAATTTTAGGCAAATTAATTATTTTTCCAACTTTACCCTCAATAAATGATGCCAATATATTTTCATTTAGTCTTATTTATAGTTTCAATGTAATTAATAAGGGGTAAAACAGATATTTAATACATAAATTAATTATTAAATGATTATTTTCTTAATTTACGTGCAAAGTTTAAAGTGATTTATTGAAATGGAGGGAGTACCATTTACCAAAACGTCTTCAATAATGGTCAAAATTTTGGCTCCAACATGATTTAGTTGGTGTGTCCTATCAACGTATTGTAATAATTTAATTTTCAGGCATTTATCTCCTTCATAGTACCGAAAAAAAAATTATGGTCAAAATTTTGGTGAAATATTGTAATATTTTGAGAGTTATTATGCCCTAAGAATTTCAATATTATGCCCATAAGTCTGTTTAGTGTTCGGATAATATATGAAAATTGAATGACAGTTTAGTGGTTAGGTTACTGTCTTTCCTGGTAATAGGCTAAGGTTCGATTCACACCAAAGATTTTAAGTAAGGTTTTACCCACATTTAAGTGGGATCTACTGGAATGGATTTAAAAAAAAAAAAATAGTGTTCGGATAATATATATCAGAAGAACTACATACGAACAAAATTTCGAACACTTTTATCTCATCCATGAATATACACTACAATCTGAAATCTTCCATTCCTAGCAAAACTATTCACTATTACTAATGCACATTAGATATCTCCTTTGTTATATGTATGATCTGTTAAATCTTCATGGAGATTCAATCACCCGATTTTCCTTCATTATCTGGGAAAATGAATTGGAGGTCTTCATTGTCCCTGTAGACTTGTACAAGAGCAGCAGCTTTATATGCAAATATCCCGAGCATCGCAGGAGCAAGCTGACATAAGGAAAACACGGAATAAGAAAAAAAGAAGCTTGCAACTTCATGAGATCAGGCGCGATAACGTTCTTGCCGTTAGTACAAGTGACTGTGAAGTGTGAATCAAGTCCAAGGATTAGGAAGAACTATGTTTAGCGTCTGCGAAACATTGCAGTTCACCAGAAGGTTTAAGATAGCCCTCCAACATGACCAAAATGTTTTTCTATCTTTTAAGTCAGATTTTATCATCAGTTGCAGTGTTAGACAGGATAATGTCCGATATGTTTACCTGGAAATCAAGTATATCATGGCCAAAATGCTGACACAATTCCCACACTCCATATATTGCGGCAGGAATCACAAGCCTTGGAGATGAAAGAGCAATGCCGGTACCCTTGATGGATTTCTCAAAAAAATCTTCTAGATCCTGGCTTCTAATTCCAATTCTGGTTCAAGACAAATGGTACATTTAGCAAGCGCATAGAATGGTTAAAAGATGTCATTAAATTGATGACAAAAGGCTGTCCAGCTCTGTACTCGTACTTCTTTGACTTCTTTTGCATGAAAATGTCCGGAATGTTTTCTCTTGAAATGTTGTCCGCATGTTGGCATAGGAGTTGAAGGTACAAGCAACTGTCGATTAAAAAATCAACCAATACACAAATGTTAGATTTGGTCATCTTTCAGGTAAAGCCTTTTGGCACAACTTTGCTATCACATAAGTTACTTAAGCAGAAAAGAAGACATATATAACACCGATGTGGCACATAGCCACAAGCCCTGCATATGCAAATCTAAAAAAGATAGAAGTTACTAGTTAAGGTAAAATATTCAATATAAGAGCACTAAGTTACCCAACTTGCAACAATGAAAAATGAGCTTTTCAATTTATGTGAAAACAACATAGTTTGTTGGCTGTGCAAATGAAAGTCTCTCTTAGTACTGAATGCATACTGATTCACTAACCTGAAAAGTACACCAATTGCATAGCTCACAGCAGCCTGATTGTAGAACAAGCATAGTTGGTTAGAAAATATTTTATAAGCACCTGAACAGACATGTGATTGTGTACCAGCATCCATTTATTAGAATATGTGAATTCACTACCCTCGAAAAAGCTTCCAAGTATGTTTTACTTGCTACTTAATCAACCAAGGAAAAGCAAAAGAATGGCGAAATGGACTTGAACATTTCAAATCTATTGGGGCTCTGGACAATACCTCAACCGACAACACAGTAAGACAGTATCCAGTGCACATGGTTCCAATCCCCAAAGTAAGCACTAGCAGTTCTCTTTTGAGCTGCAATACAATGAAAATGAAATTCTGACATGAGACACAACTAAAAACTCCTAATATTCTTTCAAGCAGAGAAAATCATGCTCTCATGTCAATACAGGCAGAGCAAAACAGGTTTCCAATAAACCTTTCAATAATATATAGATCAGAGTTGGGACTCTTAACAAGCATGTATACATTTCTACATAAGACAACTAACATTCAAAGAGTCAACTAGACTTGAAGATGAGTCCTTCTGAATATTACTTGTTTCATTTGTTGACCGTACAACTCTATCATAACAGTGAAATTGATACACAATCCTACATTGAAACACAAACTACCAACACAAAAAAAAGGACAATATCAGAGTATTTCTCAGCAACGGTATCCCAATACAGAGAGCTCACAACTTCAAAGCACTATCAAAACAGGCAAAAGACAAGTCACTACCTCATCCTATAACATAAGTTCTGAAGTCATGAACCCAGAAATAGGAATAAGCACAGTGAAAAAACAGAAATAATAACTTTTGAACTTTTAGTCACATCCACACGGTCGAACTTTTAACTAAAACACAACGAAGGCAAAATAAATAACTCAAAACATGATTGCGGAAATACAATGACACAAAAATGTCAATGTTCTATGAGGTTCATATTAAGACACAGGAAAATCATACAGCTTCATATTTGAGCAGGTTGAGCTTCCTCCTCCTTTCACTATCATCCCTTATCTCCTACAATAACCATCGCTGAAAATTTTAGGCTACAGAAATACAGAATAATACGACCAATAGAATCAAATTCCAGGCAAAAGCCACACAATAATCATCATGACAAGGTACCTTAGCCGTCTTCTTCTTATTCACAGGCGCCGAGTTGGTGTCTCCTAACACCCATTCATTTGTACTTTTCAGTTTCAGAAATCCACCACTTTCAGCTTCTCCATTTAATTCCTACATTCACAACCATTGAAACATGACCTCCACAATCAATTCCAACTCCTAAAACAAAGTTTTCTCTGCAATGTCCAAAATAACGAGAAACCAGCAGATCAAAACCTGTTCCGAGAGTCCTACAGGCTTGATAGAATCTCCATCCAAGACCGCGTTTCTTTGGGTTTTTTGAGTATCATTAGTAAACTTAAGCCAAATTTTATCAGAAATTTTCGCTATAAAGTCTCCACTGAGTTCTCTCTCTTGCATAAAGGCTTCCAAAACATCATCTCCTGCCAATTCAGTCACTAAACCAATACAAGAAAACAAAACATTAATAATCAACTCAAAGAACCCAGAAAAGACAACTCGTCAAAATTCAGTCTTTTTCTCTCAATTTAAGACCAAAAGTGAAAGAAATGCTAGAATGTGGCTACTCTGTGGAGCTTACCACGGCGGAATGTTCCAAGAACAGAGAGAATTACAGGGACTGAGGACCGGGTTCTGTGCCTTCTGGGAGAGTAATGATGAAAACAGCTGAATTTTGAGGGAATGGAAATGGTTGGGCTCATATTAGGATGAAATTTGATGCAAAAATTGAAGCTCATTTCATCTGTAAAAAGGTGCTGACTTCAAAATCTCCAAGATGCTTCTGTTTTCTCTTGAAATATCTTTTTCTTTTTATCTTCTCTTGAATGTCTTCAATTATTTGTTTATAGTGTTTCACACCCCTTATGAGTCTTTATTTTACTTTACAGCCCATGAAGTTACTCATCATTTTAAAAAACCAAGACAAGATCAAATTTAGTGATCAGATATCCCTGATTTTCACGTTTTGTTTGATTAAATTGGGTAAATTGAAACGATCAAATTATAAAAATATACATTTGATGTGTAGGTTTGAATAGTTAAAAATATATATTTGTATCTTAGATTTATGATAACAACAATTTGTAACAGTATTTGTTTGAAATCATATAATTATCATTTTTATATTTGTATTGTTATCTAGTTTTTATATATTATGCATTCAGTATTCGTATTCATTACGGCGATTATGAATTTCAATAAGTTAGATTTCTTTTTTTTTTTAAGTAAAATTGTTTAACAAATATGTTAATCAATAATGCATAAACTAATCAAATATTTTTACCATGTGCATTAAGTGTTTGTTGGTACCTGCATTAGTTTCTAATTGGGCAAACATGAATTTTATTTTAAATGAAAACTTTGAAATAATCTTATCAAAAAAAAAAAAAAAAGAAAAAGAAAGATGCATTTTTATGTAGTTGCTCCATCCCAAAATAATTATCTAGTTTTAATTTTATCTTTAGAAAAATTTATATTAAAAGTTAAATCCAAATTGATCAATGATTTTGGAAAGCAAGAATCACGAAAGAGTAACAAAGAAAGTTAAATAGAGTGTTTTTAATTTTTTCTATAAAACTTTTTTAGGGTCGAACAATAACGTGACAGTTGTGTCTTATGCGTTTGTTCCAATTTTAAATCTTGTCGGGTAAAAATAATACATCAATTATTTTACCCCTATCTCTAAAGTAATAAAATAAACACGGTACTTTATAAATTTCAACAAAAGAAGATTAAAAAAATAATTATTAGAAAAGGCCAAAAAGCCACAAGTTGTTTGTAACATTACTATGAAAAAAGTGAAAACACAATATAGATATATAATGCTTATATATTGACACTTCTCCCGAGTGACGGTTTTAGAATTTCACACCTCTCTGTTGATATTTTCATAACAACGGGGACCAAATTGCAAATTAAAATGGCAAATTGCCGCATATACTGTGTATCGAAACTCCAAAGTGGGATTTAGTAGAGAGAAAAATTGGTAGGGTTTAAGAAGAGCTAAAAGAAAGGGAGAAAAACCCCATTCAGTGCTTCCCCCAAAATTCATAGGATGACCACATTGAACTCCAAGAAAATCCTTGAAGAAAATAATGGAAGCAAAGCCAACTCTATTACAACTCTCATTCTTACTCAAAGAGCTCTATCTGATGTAATTCCCAAATCTGTTAACACCCTTTTGTTTATTTCTTATATGTTTGGCATTATCATTGATTTTTCTGTTTCGTATTTTGAATTTGTTTTTTCAACTGTGTTGGAGTAGGTTTCGTGCTTGAGCGAGTTCAAAAATTTGGAAAGACTCGATCTTTCTTTCAATACTTTGACTTCACTTGAGGTATTTACCTTAGCCTTTTAATTGAATTCTTTGCGTTTGCTAATTCTTGTTCTATGCTGTATTTCTTTGTGGCTTTCTGATAATTATTGTGTTTAAATTCAGGGCTTAAAGTCATGTGTGAATTTGAAGTGGTTATCGGTTGTTCAGAACAAGCTTGAGAGCTTGGAAGGAATCCAGGGACTTACTAAACTCAATGTGAGTAATATAGCTTGACCTTCCCGTTGTTTTCTTTTTCCATCTTCAGTTTCAGATTTGAGAGTTTCGAGTATTGTTATTTCTTGTTGAATATAAGGCTATCATACCGTGCTGTGTTAGTTGTGTTTTTTTTGGCCTTTTCCTTCCCAACCTTGGTTTGCAGTCCCTTTATCTTGTCATTCAAATGTTAGGATCATCTAATTTGAGATAATTAGCTGCATTACAATATGCTTGTAGTGTTGCTATTGAATTTTTTTTTTCCCTCCTCCCTTTAGCCCGGTATCATGAAGTTTTGATATGTTCACGCCAACTGTCCCTTCAATTGTATTTTCATGGTATATATCTTCAGCCAGATTATCCAACCTATTTCAGATACATGTGCTTAATGTGGAAGTTGATAACCACCTCATTCATTGGTTTCATGCAATGCCCAGATAATCAAGACGTATTTTGCTTCGTTGTACGTGTTATTTTAATTGTGAAAAATGTTTGTGATATTTACACAAGATTCTTTGATTTTACTCGTTAGGTATTGAATGCTGGCAGGAACAAGCTCAAATCCATGGAGGGTCTCAGATCGCTTGTGAACTTGAATGCCATAATTTTAAATGGTAGAGCTAATGTCATGATTCTTCTTTGGATTTTGTAATATTTGCACCGGCATCAATATTGGTGTTGTCCCAAAAGGGTATAAACCTGGTTTCCGGCATTGAGTTGGCTTCACTCTAGAGCCACCGTAGAATCCTTTTCTGTATTTGCTAACTTTTAATCACTAGAGTAGCAGTGTCACTTTAAGTAATGGAGCAGAAGGCAACCTGTCCAAACAAATCGTGAAGTTTTTCCATTTGATATGCATCAATTGTTTATTGTTATGCTCTGCTTACTCTTAGCTGTTTTCTTGTTCCAGGCAATGATATCACGTCGATTTGCAAGCTTGATCAAATGAAGGAGCTAAATACTCTTGGTACGAGTTTCAATTGTTTTATTTCGCTGCTGAGTTCTTGGGTGTTCTCTTTTGCTTGAGCTGATTTTAACTGAGGTTTTGGCAAAATATAATAATGGATTTTCTATGCTAGTTTTTCCCCTCTCCTTACTAAATTTGTGTTTTTATTTTGGATTCACTATTCATCTTGCAATTTGTTAGTTGCCTAATTTTGATGACATCTATAAATAACACTTTTTCTTTCCCCCCTTTCTTTTGGGTTTACATTACTTACTCTGGGATGAGGGTATGTAAGGGTAAAGAGGATCAACAAATGGCATATTCAGGCCACACAGGTTAAATTGTTCTCAAATTGAATTGAAAAAGAGTGGTAATTGCTTGAATTGATGCAATTTCTAAAATGGAAAGTAACCATTTCGTACAGTTGCTCCTACACATGAGGACTATTATCTTTCAGATTGTTACCCTATTATGTGGTCTTCTTTTGTTGGTCTGATACAATGTGGCCCCTGGATCGTATGAATTTTTATTATATTCATCAATTATTTTTGGATGAGCACAAACTTGTATGTAACATGTGTCATTTGCTAGTATCATACCCTGAAAATTGGGACTTTTTTCTAAGAGAAACCAAAATCACATGTCTTCTTATGATGTGATGATTCACCTACATGATGAATATCTATCAAATTAATGTTGCTTGGTTGCTTTCTTATTCAAGGGAACAGGTAGTTCTGGCTTGCAAGACAACATTTTTGGTTAATCCTGAAAATTAGATTTTATTAGTTTTAGAAGGTGCTCGTGCTTGTTTTGTCATTTCACAGTGTCCCCTGAAGAGAAATAACTTCCCTTTAGTCTTCTACATCTAAAATAGCCAGTCTTGTCATTCATAGGCTCATAGCAATGAGATTAGGTTATTGCTCTTTGGTTGCATATATTTAAGTCAGATAATGGTGTCTGATCAACGTTTCTGCTTTTCTAATTTTGTGCAGTTCTTTCTCATAACCCAATAACTGAAATTGGTGACGCTCTGGCCAAAACAAAATCAATCACAAAAGTAAGCATTTCTATCATTATCTTCAACTGCAACATGACTTAAGAACTTCTTGGTTGCCTAAATTGGAAACTGACAGAATATTCTTTGGATTCTGACTTTTGAATATTGATGATGATTCCAGCTGTCTCTATCTTATTGCCAATTGCAAACCATTGGTTCATCTCTCATATCGTGTGCTGGGTTAAAAGAGTTGCGACTTGCGCATAATGAGATCAAGGTTTCCTTTAAACTTCAAGTGCATTATCACTTCTTCTCATATAATTCAAGCTCTCTATGAAGTGTTACTTTCTTTGTTTACTAGTATTGATTCTAGTTTGAATGGCAGTTATCACTTTGTTCTATTCTGTTGAACTCGTTTATTGTTCTCTGATTTGTAGACTCTCCCAATGGAGCTCAGCCGCAACGATAAACTCCTAAATCTGGACATAGGAACCAACCTGATCACAAACTTTTCAGATGTGAAGGTTGTCATCCTCTCTGTTTCTTCTAGTGCCTTTGTAATCTTTGTTTGAATGTGGCTGATGATGAACTTTCAAATGTTTTTGGCTTATGATAGGTGCTCTCTTCATTAGTCAACCTGAGAAACCTGAACCTTATGGGAAACCCTATTGCTGAGAAGGATTCCTTGGTCAAGAAGGTCATAATTCTTGTTATACATAATGCTTGATGTCTGTCATTTAATTTGTTTCCGATCTTGTACTTACCTGAAAAAATGATTATTGAGCAGATAAAGAATCTATTGCCAAAGCTCAAGATATTCAATGGTCGACCAACTGATAAATTTACAAGAAAGGATGATCAAAGAGCTGAGAAATCTATTACCGGCACGGATGGATCATTGGATCAAAAGAAAGCTCTAGTTACTTCTGCAATGGGAAAAAAGAACTCAAAGAAAAAGTTTTTATCTGATGATGAAGAAGATGACAGTCCTGGTAGTGCCGGGGATGGATCTAAAGAGGAGTTCAATAATAAGAAGAGGGGCAAGGGAAAGGAACAGCCAACAAAGACAAAGGAAAATGATCATAATGCAGAAAAGAAAAGAAAGAAACAGTCAAAACTGGAATCAGATGATATTGTTGATGCTTCAAACCATCCATCTATCGATACTGATGAGGAGGGGAAGGATCTGAAGCGCAAAAAACAGGAACACACTACTAATTCAGGTCCAGGTAAGGAGAAACAGAGTAGCATTCCCCGAAAAGGTGATACAAAATTCGGAAAGAAGAAGCTGAAACAAAATGCAGGTGGTGGGATCGATGATGCAGAAACCCCATTTGAAGAATTGTTTGCTGCTGGGGATGCTGAAAATGCCACAAATAAGGATCAGACAACAGTTTCAAAGAAACAGGTTCAAGATATCGATACTGCCGGCGGCTTCGTCGTTGTTCCGAAAAAGAATAAGAAGAACAAGCAAAAAGGCGTTCGAGCTTCTATTGCAGATTTGACTCCATCAGATGAAGTTGGATTGGGCGGACCTTCATCCTGGGATCCTTAATAAAACATAGAAAGCTTACTTTAGACTTGCAGAGTTTTTGTCAGCCTTTATTAACTTATATTATTTCATATATAAGAAAATCAACTTAATTGTAATACGCCATCTTTTAATTCTAGTAAATTATATTTATATTAAAAAACTTAAAACAAAAAAACAAAAATGATTCTTTTTTTCTAATAGACATTTCTTTTGTGAGATATTCTTTTTTTTTTTTCCCAACAAGGACTAGAAAGTTAAATATTATTAGTAGTTTCATTCGGTCACTGAAAAGCTGGCTTTATCTTGAAGCCCTTGTAGAGATTGCTGCTTTGGTAGTTAGTTCCTTTATGAATTCCAACACCAAAAAGAGGCAGAGCTTCCTCCCTTCCAAACCACAATATGCATGAGATTCAAGCTTTCGGCTATCTCGGGGCGGGTTTGCTGGCGTTTATTTTCTCCGGGATCTGCATCAAATGCATGTCCGAGTTTTGCAGCCGAGTGATCCACCGCCACACCCGGTCCGCGGCTGCCACGGCACAGGCCGCCGCGGGGCGAAGCGGGTACCGGGAAGTGGTGGAAGAAACACCGTCCGCGGCCTCGGCCGCAGCGGTGTATTCAAGAGTTGAAGCGGTGGGAGGCGGTGAAGAAGCTTGCAGCTGCGCTAGTGGTAGTAGTAGTACTAGTAGCACAAACAGTGAGGATTCTTTAACTGATCAGAAGAAAGATTGCTTGAAGAAGAATTGCATAATATGCATAAGTGAGATTGAAAATGGTGAGGTTTGCTGGGAGCTAAATGCATGTAATCATCGGTTTCATGCCGATTGCATTCGGAAATGGGTGAAGAAGAACAGCAGCTGCCCTTTATGCCGAACTCTGGTTATTGTTCATTCTTTGTAATGTCACTTCTACTTAATTGTTTTTTCCCTTTCTAGGAATCTTATTATCACTAACTTACATGTTTATTTATTTATTTTATGTATCTTGAAAATGACCTTGTCTGACCGTTTTAAATAGGAATGAATCTCAATATATCGCATATGAATTAGCTAATGGTACTTTATTAAAAGAAGAAGGTAACTCCCTGATAAATAGAGAACCTATGAATTTCTGGTCCTATGCACGGCTAATATGATAATTTTTACGAATCAAAATTAGAGCTCTACTTCGTTATACTATCTCTATCTCATAATTATTGTTCAATTTTGATTTTATTTTTAACACAATTTGAACTAAAAGTGAAATATGAATAGTCAAATTGATTAATAATTTCGGAACGGATGAAGTATATTATTTTAATACAAATTGTTGCTTCAACTCGATTAAACCAATTATTTCATCCATATTGTATTTTGATAATTATCGAATTAAAATGATATTATTTATAATTTCAAAAAATATTTCACACTAAATTTTGACAAACTAATAAAATTGAGAAATTTTTTTTATTCAAAAAGATAATTTATGTTAAGTTTTTCAATTTGTACAATTTAATTCATCATACTATATCTTTGTCCTCCAAAAAAATTGGGAACATAATAGTATAATAATTAAATCAGACTATAAAATCGGTATGAAGAATATAATATAATAAGATTATAGAAAATGAGGAGAAAGTTTGGATCGATGATGAATGCACCGTTTCTTCTTCTTCTTCTGTTTTTTGCCCCCTTGAGTGAGGTGTCTAATTCTAGGAAGACACACCTGCGCATGGAGGTCATTAAGTGGCACTTTTCGCTTTGCCTAAGAGGCAAAATCAAACTATGGCAGCCACGTTATGTTAGCACGCGGCCTATCTCTATGGGATAGGGAAATTCATCCAAAGGTACTCGTCGCATACTTTATACTTACCGCCGGTCCTTATTATAAGACATTTTAATTTTGTCTTAAATTTCATCTAAAATATGTTTTTAATTAAAAAGTAAAAATTTTAAAAATATATTTTTACATTCATCGTGTTCTCTTATTTATTAGAAAATGTTTTAAGATTTTTATTCCAATTAAAAAGGCATCCTACGTGAAATTTAAAATAAACTTAGAACAAATCAAAATGTTTTATAACAAGTACCGGAGAGAGTAGTATTTTTTACCGTTATAAACAATAAGAGAAGATTTGGATAAAAGGTGGTGGAGAATAATTTCTTTTTTTTTTTTGAGATGAGAATAAATAATTCATAAAAAAGGTAATACTTTTAAATAATTTGCATTAAGGACACAACAAACTTCAATACCAAACATGACTTTAGTTGTTTTGCAAGTATTATAGTGTTACATATGTGACTATAATATTACATATGTACTTACACTAATTAGTCAAAATAAATATTGAACTTTTTTTTATACATTATATATTTATAAATTTTGGTGGCAGAAAGTACAAAATAAATTAGTGAAGTATTACAAAATTTGTTGTAATGATTCAATTAACCACGAGCTTTTGTGAATTTTTTTTTTAAATTTCATTTAAAGCTCAGTTCATATTAAAAATATAGAATTTTTCTATTTTAAATTTCAATATTATTTAAACAAAATGAATCTTCGAAATTGTGAATGATTAACCACTGTATTCCCAAAAAAAAAAAACCCACTGTATTTTACATAATGCAATTATTTCTTTAAAATGATATAACTGCATTTTAAGTAATGTAGTTATTTAAACAATCTTCAAAATTGTGAAAAATTTTAAATAATGAATCTTCAAAATTGCGAACAATGTATTTTAAGTAATGTAATTATTTTAAATAATCGTCAAAATTGTGAATAGTTTTAAATAATGAATCTTCAAAATTGTGAACAGTTAACAAATGTATTTAAATAATTTAATTATTTATGGGTTCCTATAATACTTTTATCAAATTTGATATCGATGATGATTATAAATGATATTTCTTGTTTATAATTTCAAATTTTGTTAGTTAAACTGATCTTCAAAATCTTTCACGAAATCTCAATAAATATAAACTAGGTGTTAGACCAGTCCGATGGACGGTAAGGACATACACATATAAACATTAAAACACAAGAAGCAAGAAATATTAATATTTTTATAGATTTTTTATTTTTATTAAATGTATAATGACTTCATTAGAAAACATAAAATACAAACATTAATAACACTTAACGAAATAAATCGGTGAAAATTTATTTAACACAAAGAGAACTGTTATGAAATCTAAGAAAGAGAATATTAAAAAACGAAAAAGAATGAACTTTGAATTGAATGATTATATATCGTGCACTACTTCTTTGTATCCTACATTCGAGGTTTTAGAATTGTCATCATCATCTTCATCACATATCAAAATCTGTATTCCTTGTCTTGAATTGACTCTTGTGTTCAGTGCTCTTATTTAATTTTTTTTCTTATTAACATACAATGCATTCTCACTTTATTTTATTTTTGTTAACCCATTTGTTCGTTTGATTTAGTTTTTTTCTCATTATCTATCTAATAATTTATTTTTATTTTAACTTACCCGCTATCAAAAATATTTTATTTGAAATGTGAGGGTGGAAATATCTTTTTACCCCTTAAAGAATATAATGAAATTATTTTTCTCCATTAATATCTTTTTTTTTTTTTGGAAATTTTAGCTAACGTCAAAGCCATCACGCTCATTTTTTTTGGATTAAAGTTTGATTTATTAAAAAAAAAATTTCAAGTTTGGTCGTGAGTTGTTTCAGCAATAGTTTTATTTTCTTTAGTTGTTTACGATCATTAATTTTTTTTTTGTCTTAATCCTATATCAATTTTGTCACATTTAGTTTAACTTATAAGAGAGATGATTGTTCAGTATCCAAGCTAACCCACTCATTAGCATAAGGCCGGGGTTTCAAACTCATCATTATAAAAAATAATTTTGTCCTACTAAAATTTTGCACATTTTTTTGAAATGATAATTATTTAATTTGAAAACGTAATTTTATCCGTTGAACTTTTTTATAATAATATGAAGGTTCATGGACAATTAGAAACTTTAGGTAGATATTAAGGGTGGCCCAACGTCCTACTTCTATAAATGAGAATTTTAAATTCCTACCCTCGATAAACTAAAATTCAACACTGCACTATTTCAACATGTTATTTCTCAAATTATTTATTGCTAGTACTATGTACAATTTATTTTTTAAAGAAAGTTTTATGCACAATTACTTAGAAAGTAAATTGAATGAAAATTATATATTACAATGATTTTTTAGAAAAGTAAGTTTTGCAACTCCCACCATAGAGAAGTTGTATATTTATGGAACTCCACCCTTATTTGCTTCTCCAGGCACATGAAGAAGTTATACAGTTCAATTCTTGTGAGAGTTCTCGGATAATACCATCTAATCCTGAATGAGCTTTCGGTTTTTCCTCTCCTATCTTCACCAGGCTCACCCCAATTCAAGAAACTTCAGAGATCACTTTTCCTTCTCCCAAATTTCATACCGTCAAATACCCTTGTTAAAACTGACTCTATTTTCAGGAATCAGCTTATTTTGTAGCTCTAAATTCTCAAATTTATCTTCAAATACAACACTGGTTGAATCAAAGAATGCACTGATGTTTTTGTGGTGACTTGGTTGATGAAAATCAGACTTAATATTCGGGAGATTGTCATCGAGATTTTTCCTCCGGATACGGAGCCGCAAGATTTTTCCTATACCGGATACGGAGCCGCCATATTCTCATCGATATAAGTTGCCAATTTATTGTACGATTTCTAAATCGGATTGCAAATCTAATTATTCTAATTCACGTTTGGTATAGGAAAGAGGATTTGTAGGGTAACTATCGATGAGATTGCGAACAAATCCCAGATGATGCATGACTTCAGTATAGTTAATTTTGGTAATTTAATTTGGAATTTTTCTAAACCAGAAAATTAGAAATTTGCCACATATGATTAAATCCTATGTGGCATTGATATATGACATTGACTTTTCTCTTTCTGATTTTTGCCTTAGTATAGTATATAGATTTATTTTATTAACCCTTTTGCGTTTTGCATGCAGTACTTGCAGAAAGCTTATAACCGCCTAAACAATAGGAAAATGTTATGATGAAGAAAGAAGCATTATTCAAACACTTTTCAGATAAGTAAGCAATTATGTTTACATAGCGCTATATTTTACTCCCTCCATTCTTAAATATATGTTCTTTTAGGGATTCGAAAATTTTTTAAAATATACGTCGTTTGGCAATTTTTAAAATACATTATCAATATTTCCCTTGCATTAGAAATGAAATAATACTTGAAATGAAATCGTATTGGTTGGTGATGGGTTGTATGGTAATAAATAAGGATAAGTTTACATTTCAAACATATTATTTAATATTTCATTGGTATTCATGAAATTGATAGAAAAACAAATATTTTGGAATACATGAAGTATATGCACATTAATTCAATCTCTCTCTTTCATTTTCCCCCTATTTCAAGATAATCAGGTAGGTAATTCAAACATATCTTCTTTCGAATTAATTACTGATGAAAATAAAATCACCTTTTTTTTAAATAACAGAAAAAATAATATAGAGTCTCTGTCTTTTTCCTACTCTTACGAAAATTGATAAAAAGAAGCAAAAGAGTACCTATAACTGGTGTTAACTTTCTGAATCGTTAAAATAGTGGTCCAATTCCCAACTGGAAATGAGCCATTTTTTTCGTGGACAAAATTGGTAGCCTTTTTAAAATGAGGTATATCCCAATTCTTGATAGCTAAAAATGGTGTGCATGAGTCCATAACCGCGTGTTAAATAAATTAACAGATAAATATCCCCACCCTGATAAGATGAAGATATATAGTCAGTTTGCAAAATGATATTAATAATAATATTTATACCAAAATTTCTGGGTTGCATAGTGAAATGTATTAATGAAAATCAAAAGAGGTCTCCAGGTTTCCGTTGGTTTTAACATTCTTCATTTACGGTGTTGTTCTTTTTAAATTATGGGTCCAAAACCCAATTAGCTCCCTTGAGTTCCTTGTTTGATTTTATAGATATCTTTCTTTCAGAATGCTTTGTGAAGGGAAGTGGTTGCCTTCCGG